GTCAGAGCATTGATCGAAAAAATATTGCCGGATTCGAAGCGCTCCTTCTTATTACTTCTTTCCCGACTGTCTCGTTTTCTTGATCGTTTACAGAGAAAATCTAAGCTTTTACTGCTCAAACGATTATCGTTTGCAATGAAAAAAAGAAAAAACAGATCGAAGGAAATTCAAAGGCCAGGACAGCGTGAATTTTTTCCCGCGCGATTGTCTATGTCTATCCATATGCATGGTGTGCTCGCACGTACGCGATGTAACCGATCGTAGATGGTGGCGGGTATGCGCGTATGCGCACACTAGCAGAAAACGCGTGGCATATGCAAGCGTTTATTTACGCGTTCGATGCACGTTTCCTCCGTGCGCGCCTCTATATGCATACGCGTCGACCGTGCACCGAGTGACGCGCGCCATCATGCGATAACCTCGAAACACCGTTGGTCTCGCAAAAAAACAAAAGGAAAAAGAATACATGCTAGGATAACAAATGTTACGAGGTCCGGAAATTTCTTTCCACCTTGTTGTTATTTTCCAAAAATTTGCTCGCGTCGCCGAAAGAAGCACCGAGTATCAGCTCGAGTAAAACACTCGTCTCGACGAGACGGATCGTTATAGCCGAATAGTATCTGGTAAACGAGCAGCAATGTTATATATTAATTTATGAAAAGTGCGTTTAATTATTCGGATCGTTATATCTAGCTAACCGCGGTCCAAAAAGCCCGGTCGTCCTGCAGCGATGCAATTAAAGTCGAATGTAAACCGATAGGGAGAGGCTGTTACACGAAACTCCGAGGTAATGATTACGCGAGCCGTTGTAATTTATTACCGCGCCTGCTCGTTATTCTCAATTGTAACGTAATTCGGTAATACGGCCTAATTGCGGTCTTAATAAGACCGCGTGCGCGTCTCCGACTGTCCTTTCTCCTCGGAACAATTCCTACGCGATCCGTCTTATCCGCTCGTCCGACGCGACGTGGCGATTCTATGAGATTTCCTTTGCCGTTTCTCTATATATTCGAATCGAAACCGGTTCATCGAACAATTTGTATCGATATCACTGGTATGCGATACGCTCGCGTCGCCAGATAAGAGAACCGTCTAAACGTCGCGGAGCGAACGTAACGCGCCAGTTGAACCTCTTGCTCAAACTTTTTTCGTAATTTGTTTCGCATTCGATAACCAAAGGATGACTCACGGTACGCAATTGCTATCGCGTTCTTCGCCGAACTTGTGCTCGATACGTTTCTCATTCAACGCTCTTTTTTTTTTTTCAAACCACTTTGTCGTCGATAGCTAGAGAAAAGGCTCGAGAATTCGATCGCAGCCGAGACAGGACGCGTTGGCCAGAGTTGTAAAGTTTAAGAACATTATGCTCGGACACGGGTGAACGCGGTTGAACGCGGGTGGCGCGGTGTGGTACGGTATCGTGCGGTATGGCGTCGGCGAAGGTGGAGGATGAGAAGGATGCGGCGGGATAAGAGAAGTCGCGTCGTCGCGCGCAATGCGATGCAGCGAGTAAGGTACGCTCGAACTCGGTGTTTACGAACGATTCTCGTTCGCAGACGTGGAAGCCCGCGTTCCTTGGAACGAAAAGGTCGAAAGAGCGAAAACCGTGGAGAGAAGACGAAGAAGCACGAAACTCGCCGAGCTGTTACGAGCAAGGTACACGCGGGCGTATTCATCTTCGCGGCTCCAACACGAACGAAAGCTGCACCTATATATACGGGAATGATTATCGAAAAAGGAAAGAGGAGAGGAGAAGCAGAAGAAAAGAGAAGGGTATGGAAGGGAAAAAGAAGCGCTGGCCAGGTTCGTACGCGAAAGAAACCGTAGGTAATCGTGCGAGCAGAAACGCTGACGCAGATAAGGGAAACCCTTAGGAGCGCTTCTGCTGCTGCTGCTGCTGCGACGGCGGCTATTTACGAGCGGTCTCGGTGCTCCAATGGAAGAGGCAAAGGATTCGCGTCGCTCACCGGACCGCAAATCCGAAAATTCTTCGTCCCTTTGCCCTTTCCGCGATGTCCTAGATTCGCGGCTTCTCTTCTAGGAGCTCCTCGATGTAACGTAGCTGATTTTTCGAGCCGCGCGAGTCGCGACGTACGCGTTAATGGGATTATGTAACGAGAGAAGCTTCGGCGTATTAAGCAACCAAGAAACCATGACTTCCCCTTTCGATCCTCCTCTTTCGAACGTTCAAGGATAATCGTTATTCTTTTTGCCGCGCTCGTCGAATCTCGATTGCATCGATTCATCGATTCTTCGCGGATACACTGGATTTCCGATCGAACCGCGTCGTTTCTGGCTATCACGGAACGAAAATACCAAAGGCTCGTATCGCCTCGAGACTCCGAGACGCGTTGTCCTTCCCAACCAAAATTGCGTCGCGTCTTTTTTTAACGAGTCGAACGAAATTTTCGTTTCGCTTCTCGAGCATCGCGAGGTTGGACAATTTTGCAGGAACCGAGGGAAAAACTTCAAATCCGGCAACGCTGGCTCTCGAGCGAGAACAGGCCCGGTACAGCCTGATAAAAATAAATTTGCGCCCGGAATAATCACGGAGCTCCCTAGAGATCCGTATGGACCGCGTGTCTAGGTGCTGCCGCCGCAACCGTCGCGCCGTTTGGCATACCGACTCCGATACGTTTCCAGTTTTCGCATTTTCTTTTTCTTTTTCCTTTTCCTTTTTTTTTTTTCAAATAGATTTCGCGCACGTTTCGGCCTAGAAACGTTCACCGTGGATACTTTTCGAGCGTGTACCCTAGGCGTACCGCCACTCGGAGCGGTTTCATCCTCGGAGTCCTCGACTTTTGAAAAGACGCGTATCAAGAACGTTGTGGAACGCGTTGCACCGACAGAGACGGAAAAGGAGAGTGGCGGAGAGCGGGAAAGACGCGTGTTACGAAACCATAGCCTGCGAGAGGCCGAAGGAGGAGAAGAGGAAAGCAGAGCCCGTTCGACGAGCTCTCTTCGTGCGGCCGTTTGTGTTCTATCCTCCTCCCGCAACCTCCACCACCTCCTCCGCCACCTCCGCCTCCTTCTCCACCTCCACCGCCTCCGCCTCCGCCATCGCTTCATCCCGACCCTCCTACCCGTCTTTCACATCCACCTTCGTACTTTTCCTCCTCGCTCGCTCGCTCGCCCGCTCGTTTCTTCTCTCTGCCTCTTTCTTCCTCCTTTCCTATTACTCTCTTCTCCTCTACGTCTCCTCTACGCTTACCCTGCCCTCCCATCGGCTCTCTACGTTTCCACCTCGACGTTTGCTTCGGGCTAAAATAAAAACACGAGGGAGATAACCGAGCGAGACGACGCGACGGCCGAACGCGGGACGAGAGAATGAAACGAGAAACGAGGAAAAGAGGAAAAGAGGAAAAGAGACAGCTATCGCGTATCGAGGTGTAGGGCCAGGAGAAGCGAGGAGCAGAGGAGGTGCGCGTAAAGGCGAAGGAAAAAAAGAAAATGGGGGGACGGTGCAAAGGAGCCGAGGTAAAATGATCGGCGAGAAAAACGAAGAAAAGGTCGAGAGGAAAGGTAACGCGCGAAGGAACCCGGCTGAAGGAGAAGAAAGAAGAGTGCTGGTAGAAGAAGCAGCAACAAGACCAAATAGGAGAAAAATAAAGAAAAGGGGTAAACGCGGAACGGAGCAAAACGGCGAAACGGTCAACTCGCGGAGAAAAGGGTTGGAATGCGATTTACGCGCCTCTAAAAGTCATGCACGCTTTTCTACATTTTCTCTTTTGTTCAGGACCGATCGACAGCGGTGGACGCGCGATATTTTCGCAAAGTTGATATGCGCGTCTCTTTTCTATCCTTATCCTTGTTCGATAGTAAACGATTACAAAGAAAAAAAAAAGGAAGCGTGCTCCGTTTAAAATACGTATGTACTCGATTCGAACGTTCGACGCGACGGAGAGGAGGCCGTTTTCCCATTGAAAACTTTAAACGTTCTCAAATTGCCGCGGCAAAGAATACGGCTTTATCGACAACTATTCGCCAGATACCTGCATCTCGTAGGCCATTCATGTATTCCGAACTTATGGAATACATGAATAACTTGGAGGAGATGGAGCGGCAGGGAGTCGAAGGCGAGAGCAACAGAGAAGAACGAAACTCGGAGAGGGCTGATCTTATCGATAAGGTCGATTTTTATCGGCGAGCCACGATTTATCTGCGTCGCGTGACCGCCTTTGAGTTCTTTCTCTCCACTAGATCGGCGCGGTGAGCTCGAAATCGTTCGCCATATCGACTCGAACGGTTATCCGCGTCGAAACGCATCCTCCGGCCACGTGGCTTCGTTTACTTTCCCAGATTTTCTTTCTTCTTTGCTTTCGTCTCTTTATACGTATAGCTGCGTTGCACCGTGGTCGAACGGCCAAAGTCGATGGCGAATTACGCGGAGAAAATAGAGGACGGGCAGTCGTGAAACAACTAATACACCGGTCGAAGCGAAACGTAGCCTTGACCTATTGGCGCCCTCGCGTCTGCTCCAAACTTCTCGCGGTTTGGCTTCGGTTCTCCAAAGGCGAAACGCGTCGAAGCGCGTTTATCGTTCCTGATTCGAGAATCGGGTTGTTCCAGAAACTAGAAACTAGCAAAATCGACCCGGACGAATTACCTCGGCGTTACTCTTATTTCGATGGTGTCGATGGTGTCGATGGTATCTTAGCAAGCAGGAAAGGTGTACGCCGACGAGAAAGGGAGATACGTCGAAGAAATTATACTCTTTTGAGAAACGAGGGCACGACCAGACCTTGCGCAACGAATACAAATGCTACCCTCCGTGTCCCTTTGAGGCGCGTGACGAAATTCTTAAAAGGCTCGAGGTCGGAAAGCAAAGGGTTTCTAGCAGCTAGATGCCGAAACGCTATTTCAACTAAAGAGAGGATAAATTTCAGAGAACGTTAACGTTGCGATCCGACGGCTATCGTCGAGTATAAGTACTTTTCCATCGTTCGCTGTTCTTAGAGTCGCGATTGCCTTTAAGGGGCGTAGCAACAGAAGACACTTACATTTTATAATGGTGTTGCATGTGGTGTGCCAAATGCAGATCGGCAGGGTGTTGTTGAAGCTGTTGCTGTTGTTGCTGTTGCTGCTGCTGCTGTTGTTGTTGTTGCTGTTGGTGCATAGCCTGGTGATGATGAGTTTGCGGGGGATCCAGGCTAGAGGCACCCAGCAGAGTGGCGCTCTCCCTAAACAACGTTGCCACCTGCATTTTCGTCGATCGTTCCTCGAACTTTCTTCCTCGAATCGAGTTACGTCCCGCTCAACAGCAGGAAAATCTCGAAAGCTTAGTTCTTTGGTCGACAGCAGGTTCAACTCGGAAAACGAAAGGAAGGAAAGTTAGGAGAGGAGGACGGTGCGCGACGTAGCCGTCGGCGGGATAACGCGGGCCGTAGATCGCGCGCGCCGCCACCTCGCTAGACCAAACTATCCTCGCCACCGACACCACTCACTGACACTGTCACCGGAACGGTTAACGAACGAGCAATCCTCGTTGCAACACAGAACCGAGGGATCTAGGCACCGGTGCCGGCAGCGACGGATTTCACTTCGGATTCAATCGAGTCCTCTCGAGCTGCTCGTCCTCCGTTTACCGCTCACGATCGTCCTTACCATCTTCATCTTCCTCCAGGATATCCAACGTTCCGCTCGACGATTCCCTACCAAACGTTCTCGATGCGCCGGTTTTCTCTCGCCGATCGCTAGTTTCCGACGATGACGGTGGCGGTGGCGGCGGCGACGGCGGCGGCGGCGGCGGCTGCGGCAACGACCAGACCAATCTCGCGCTCGAATCCACCGTCTCTCCCGGTTCGTTCCACTACTTTTCGAACGAGACCGTGAAAGCCCGTTTATTACCTGCTTCACGAGAGTCCGCGCTCTCACGATTTTCAGCCGCACGCGGACCAGTAAGTACACGTGACCACCGAGAAGATCGCTTGGCTGAACGTATACGTTGAAAAACTTTCTTCTTCGAGTTTCACCTCTTCCGCGTTCCCTCGTACTTGTCTCGACGTATGTACACCGCTCTTCTCCTTAAAATGCCCGGACGAGGGAAAAGCTGACTCGCGACGGATCCGTTCCGTTGACGATCATTTCTCTTTCTCGCCTTCTTTCTCCTCTCTCACTCCCTACCTCTTTCACCACTTGGTCCTCTCACTTTCCTCACGGCAAACGTTTCGCCCAAGAGATTCGCGATCTCCGCACCCACGCCCCGAACCACTAAGCCGATACAACGCGTTTTCTCTTTCCTACGTGCCCTTCGGGCCTCCTATTCTGGACGGTGTGCGTCGTGCTTTCGACGTTTCTTCGTTGTTCGACTCCGATACGTCGTCGTCGCGTTACTCCGATAACGCGACAGCGTGCCACTTCTAAAATTTCAGCCGTCTTCACGATAAAACACGACCACGAACGCGCCTACTCCTCTTCCTTTCTAACCTCTGCTTCTCCTTCGACGTAACGATCCTTTCGTTCTCGCTCTCTGTCTCTTCTCCACTCCTCTTCGCTCTTCTCTGCCTCCTGCTTAGCTCCGTCTCTGTTTCGACGAGGAATTCTGTCGTCGTGTAAACACGCGTCCACGCACACCGCGGAAGCTGGAACCGCGGCAGCAAGAGTCGGCACCGCACTGCTTGCCAGTGTCGCTGGTTCGGTTCCTCGAGCCGCCGAGGTTCGTGCGTTTCCGACCTCTGTCGGTTAGCTTCGGCCTCGCTCGGTTTCGGAGCCTCCCGCCGGTCGCGGCGACGGCGGCGATCCTAGCAACGACGGTCCCAGTGACGACGATCACGACCACGACCACGACCACGACCACAATGATTATACCTACACTCTTTTTACCTTCACACCCAAAAATCTTTCCGACTTTTCGTCTTCTTCCTTTCTCCAAACATTCGATTTAAATGGCTTTCTCTTCGATCGGAAGAGACAAATCGATCCTCTGTAAAATGAAAAAGAACACTCGACGTTCCTTCTTTCCTTGCGCTCAAGTCGAATCTCTCCCAATGACATTATATAAATTATTGTCCAATTAGAACGCGTTTCATCCGGTTAGAGTCGAATCTTCGTAATTCCCGCGGTCCACCGAACGAACCGTTCCAATTGATTTTACGTTCCCGCCGCGGCCAGTTTCAAAGCGTCGTCGTCTAACGAGAAAACGTAACGAAACTTACGCAGGCTCGAAGGAAGGATTTCCCTTCGGAAGAATCGATCGGTTGTATCGACTTTGGTAAAGAGCGGTTCGGTCGGCCGATTTTCTGCCAGTCTAGCTGCTTCGGCTGGCCGTGCAAATGCCTGGCCGTGGCGTACCGTGCGTGTGTGCGCGCGCCTGCTTTGTGTTCGCTGCGTTTCCACCCGTATGACGTACGTGTACCTATATTATACCTAGCCTATGTACGTGTGCGTGTATGTACGAGCGTACACGCGTCGTCGAAATGTACGTCGATGGCCGCGCGTTCGTGTAACGCGTACGATCCGTTCGACCGTGTCTGCCGCGAGGTGTATCAGAGTGGGAGCGAACGCGTACCTACCTCTCCAGAGAGAGAGAGAGACCGGCTACGAAAACGAGAAAGAGAATCGGAGTGAGAGAAAGCGAGATAGCACTCCGAGGTACATATATAAGGGCACGTACGCGGCCATGTATGCAAGAACGAAGAGTGTGCTGGTGCATGCGGTGACCCTGCCGCGATGTAGGTGGATGGAATACCAGGGCTGTAGCGAGAAGTTCTATCGCTCGCGCACCTACTGCCTACCAACGGCGCGATTGCTCGCGATAAATCTAAACTTTTAATTACTAGCCACCGTTTCATCTATCTACCGACGTGCGCTTCATTTTCAAATTACGACAGGAACGAAAAAAAAAATTTTCATTTTTTCAAAGTTCTTCGAGAAGCGGTAGCCCCTCTGGGAAAATGAAGAATCGAACGACAAAGCAATCCGAATCTAAACATTTTCCCGCGGAATTCAATTTTTTTTTTCTTCCTTCCTTTCTTTCTTTTTCACGTACCTAGCTGTATGAAACGAGCAAATGTTCCCTCTTTCCATCGATTATCGCGATACACACGGTCAAAGTCGAAACTTCTTAACACGCTCCTGTTTTGAATAGCCGGTCGGTGTGTGTAGTAGCGCTCGAGCGCGCCGGCTAGCCACACGTATACATATATCATCGAGTTGCAACGTTAGCGCGAGCGAGTCGGAGCGAGTCGGAGCGAGTCGGTGCGAGTCGGAGCAACCGGGGTCGAGGGTGGATTTCACGCAAAAGTGAGCGAGCAAGAGAGACGGCTGTGTAAGCGTCGCTCGGCGAAGCGAGAAAGCTACCTGCCGTCGACGAAGAGGGAAACGCTTGGTTGCAGCGGTATACTGGGAGAGAAGAGAGGAAAGAAAGAGAGAGAACGAGAGAGAAGGAAAAGACGATACGTCGTCGAAGCTCACGCAAACACGCTTCTGGCAAACCCGCACACTGCTGCCTGCCAGACTCCCACCACGCCAACTTTCGGAAAAATCAATAGAATACAAGAAAAGCCCACGCTGCGCTAGGCCAGTGGAGCCCTCTTTTCCTCCTTCTCCATTCTATCGGTTCGTTCCACCTTCCCTTTTCTACCTTCCTTCCGTCCTTCCGTCCTTCCGTCCTTCCGTCCTTTCTTCTTTGTCTCTGTTTGCACGCGATTTACCTGGCTGGCCGTTGTCCGCCGTACGCAGAGAGCAGTAAACGCGAAACGCGCCTACCCGAGTACGACGCTCTATCTAGCCAGAAAACGGCGTACGTACGAGATTGGCGAAAAGAATACGGAGCAGAAACGTGAAAAAGGTGAATCGTCGTAGGTACGTGCACGATTACCACGAATACGACGAGTATTTCACCGAGAAAGAGATACGATTTGATAGCGCATTCGCTCGAACGCTCCCGTAAATCACCCCTTTGCCCAACCATCCCTTTAAAAATCGGCCTCTTTGCCGCATTCTCCTCTGTGCGTTCGAGCTTCCCAACTCGTTCCCAATGAAATTTCATACGAGTAATCGAAATTATCTTAGCTTCCAAATTGTTGATGCGTTTTCAATCGAAAATGACGCTTCGAGTTTTTCCGCAGAGTTGGAAAAATTTGCAATTTCTGCTGATCATAAGGATGCAAAGTTGTTTTCATTGAGGAGGACACGATACGCTGCACTGGCCGGTCTCGAGACACCTCTCACCGATCCAAACAGAATCGTAGCCTACCTCGTACTAAACGGAACTGACCCAGCTTCGTGGCTTTGTACCCTTCGCTCCTCCCTCTCTCTCTCTCTCTATTTCTCTCCCCTTCACTGACTGCCGTTCTCCGTCTCCGTTCTGTGCTCTCTTTGTCCTCCGCCCCTTGACATTCTCCCACCGCCGACGAGACACCCTCGAGAAGTTTCAATTTATACTGAAAGTCGTCATGACCGAATCCACAAATACGTATACATAGACTCGCTCGAGCTCTCTCGGCCCATTCATATCAGCTGAGTACGCGTAAACACGGACGTATCGCGTATCCGCGATCGCGTTTCTCCCCGGATTCCCGCTCGGTTTTCCATCGAACCCAGGCGCCAAGTCGAAACTCTATCTCCGCCAGGTTAACGAGACCTTTCGAAAACGCTACGCCAGTCGTTCGATAATTCACGGGAAAATTTAACCGTGCGAAAAAGTTGTTGGCGTGAGATCGAGACGCGAATTCGGTCACGCGAGATCGCCGTGGAACGCGATTAAAATTGTCGCAAACGGCACGACATCGAATCCGAACGATTCTATTTCCGCGGTCGATCGACGAGCAAACGCGAAATCTGTTCGGCGGTCAAAATTTTCTCGAAAACGTACTCTGTACAGCAAGTATCCGGTTGGATAAAGGGAAAAGAGGGGCAAACGCGGTCTCGACGAGCTGGCTGGCTGGAAGTGGACACCGGCCTGGGAATAATAAAATAAGCAAATCAACAGCTCGTTGTCGTAATTCTGGCTACGTCACTGGTACTCTACCCCTCTACGGTCGACGGAGGGTCGTGTACCCTCGTGGAGAGGGGTATAACGGGAGAGGAGAGGAGAGGAGAGTGATATTGCGAGAGGGGTGGATGAAAGGTACGAGAAGGGGCGCGCAGAGAATCGGGGCAAGGGAGGTGGGATAGCGGTGGTGAGAGGAACGCGCGGAACGCTTTATGAATGAATGTTTCCACGCCAAGTGTGGCGAGAGAGCGAGAGAGGCCCCCGTGTGTCCCGCGTGTAAACACAATAATACCGACGTTTCCATTCATCAGGTCGACCCCGGCAAAGCACGCCGCGACCTCGAGAAATGCCTTTCGAGGCGCCACGTGGATCGCGCGCACCCCTCCCTTACTCTCTACCTTATACCCTACCCCCTCTTTTTTATCCTCGACCCTCCACGGAACTGTTTAAAAAGCGATTTCAATCTCTCCTCCTTACCTCGTCGACTTGCTGGCCGTTGCAACCTTATTCACCGGAAAGTTCGCGGTTTTTCCTCAAATCGGTCCAACGATTCATTCTTCACGGTTGTAAACAGAGCGTTCTATTCGCATGTTTCAGGTCACCGAGGAAACGATTCCGGTCGAAAAAGAGTCGTTGCAACGATGGACGGAGAGAAGCGTCTGGTCTTTGGTATGCGCGATGGAATTAGGTTTGATACCGTCGGAGACGAACGCGAAGAGCGTCTCTTCGTTCGTTAGCCTCACCGATGACGAGTCGCTCGTAAAAACGAGCACCGTTTCCACCGAGTCGTTCTTCTCGATAAATTCTCCGATCGACGACGCGAGTCCACCTCTACGGAAAACATCCCTCCGATTATCCGCAACAATGTCCTCGCGTTCGTCTGAAACACGGTCCAAACGTGGAAGAAGAAAGCCGACGAAAAGCAGAAACGTTTACGCGAATCGTGCCAATAATTCGACGATGGAGAACTTTTGGAAATCGTGCAAGAGAAAAGCGAGAAGATCGGAAAAACGTGAGAAGCGAGAGGACGGCAAGGAAACGAACGGAGATTTTACGTTCGATCTACTTCGAAACGATTGCGAAACTTGTCCCACTTGTAAACGCAAGTGCGTCGGGGACGAGTCGTCGCGATCGGCCCGTTTTCCCGTCGTTCCAAACACCTTGTCGCGAAAACGTATCGATCGAAAGTTACGTCGCAAAAGCGAACGAGGTTTCGTATCGAAAAATCGCGAGAAGAAAAGAAACGCGATCGTATCTTCTTTGAACGAACGCTTTGTTCGCGGCCGTTGGACAGGAGGAGGCAAGTATCGATCGCGTTGTTCGATCGAAGCCGAAAACCATGAGCCGTCCATCACCGACGGCGAACCAGAACTTTGTCAATTGGCACCGATCGATCGGAAATACGCGAGCGAACCGTCCTTTCATCCATCGACAAACTTTCACCGCGTCTTTCCTACCTTTCCACCGATCGAAGATACCTCGGCCGAAAATAACGACCGACTTTCGATCGAAGAAGAAATCCTGTCGGACGGTCGAAAGAATGAAAACGGTCGCGAGAAAAAACGCGCCCGTCCACGGTGCCAATCGGTCGATGGTATCGGAAAGCGTAACGAGACGCGAACTTCCAGCTTAAAGAGAAACAAGACGGCTCCTGCGAGCGTAAATTCTGGCGAATCTGCAATAAACATGACGCTTCGAGCGATAACGTCGCAAAACGACGAGGAGTATCACGAGCTGAGAAGAGTGACTCGAGGATCGACGAAAGTAGGCAAGGATCACTTTGTCGGAAAGCTGGTGTGGGGCTGTTGCTCGGGCTGGTGGCCAGGCAAGCATTTTCACCAATACCTGTTCGCGCTGCGCAGATTTTCTTTGCTTTTCTTTTCAAACTTTTGTTCGCTAACGATTAGTCGATCTGCTTTGGGATTACCGTTCGCGTTCCTTTCTATCCGTTCAGTTTCGAATTTCGCGGGAGAAAGATGCTATACCCTTAGTAAACGTTTCTATGTGATATGCATTACAGCGTTAATTATCGGTGCCGACCATGTAGGAATGTTGTCCGAGGCGGGAAAATTATGGGTTTACTGGATCGAAGAAGCTCGTATATCATTAGTGAATATCAATTTTTTTTTATCTATATTTTATTATTTTTCTTTTATTTTCTCTTCTTTTCCTCTTCATTTTTTTCTGTTTTTCTTTTTTTTTTTTTTTTTTTCAATTTACTAACGATAAGTTTGCAACGAAGAACGTTCGTTCCTCGTAATTGGCCTCGTTATTACTGTAATTTCAGCTGAACGAAAAAACGCAGATCGAATCGTTCTCCTGCAATCTGAAGTGTAGACTGACGCAGAACTTGAACGTGGCACGGGTCCGAGCTATTGACGCAACTATGCAGGTTTTTCCTTTTTCTTTTCTTCTTTTTAAGCATACGTTTCTTGCCTTCGTTTCCGATATCGCGACGCCCTAGCGTCTCGATACCACCGAGCATTTTAGCATCGAATTTGCTTCAGATGTTGCGCAAACACCTCGGTTGCGCCTTGACGAAACCTTACTCCGTTTGGATCGAGAAGAACTTTTCAGAGACGATCGAAGGTAAATCGGCGAGAACGTTAACCCGACTACAATTAACAATCATTTTCTTTTTCCTTCCAATCTAGCGTTCGACGAGATAAGGTTCTACCCGTATCCGTCTAAAATCCAACAAAGGTTGGACCAATTGAAGGAAAAGAACGCAAAAGTTACCGAAAAGTACCTCTTGGATCAAAAACGTACGTGCTGATATTATCTTTTTAACGTTTCCTCGTTTCACATTGTCAGTTTTATTCGCAGGTGAAACTCAGGGCAAAAAAATTGACAAACCGAAAGAATCAGCGCAAAGACTTGACGTGGATTTAACGCGGTTACCTTTGAAGGAACAGAGGCCGGGCGTTATAACGTGGGCAAAAATTTTAGGACACAATTGGTGGCCAGGTGACGTTTCTTCTCCTACACAATTCGTTTACTAGTTCCACGAAAAATTAGACGTTCTTTCGCAATTGTATGAAAAAAAATACTCGCATAGTAGTTAGCGGCTTCCGCAATTTGCATTTTCTTTTTTCATCCAGCCTTTCGTTTCAAGTTTTTAAGAATCCTTAGAACCACGGTTCGCCGCCGTGTTCTAACAGTATTTAACAATCTCCTCTTTTATGTCGTAGCAATGATTATCGATTACCGCGACTGTTGCATGCGTGAGCCGAGCTTTGGTTGCCAGTGGATTATGTGGTACGGTGACTACCAGCTTTCAGAGGTAAACATCGCACCGGTCATTACCGAACTATACGAAAAATCAAAATTTAGCTGATCGAACTACTCGCAACGATTCGATCGTCGCTGATCAATATGCTATTAGGCGTGATAATTAAGATACGTTTCGCATACAGTTTTCGTTACGCGACAGGTTCATCACCAACTCTTTCTGAAATTTGACAAAGGAATCGAGAAACTGCAAGATTATATAAAAAACACGAAGAAACACGTTTATCTAGTCGGAGTTCTCCAAGCGTCCAAGGTATTTCCTTTACCGATGTATCTCGTCTAGTAAGAACAGCTTAGTTTCGTCTTCGTTTCAGGATTACTGTTCTCGTATGGGACTCGAAACGGAGAATTGGACGTTGGCCGACGTGTTTGAATATTTTTTAAAAGAGGATCCAACCTTGGAAACGCTGTGCGTACCTCTGAAGAAAGAAGATTCCGTGAAAATATACGATAAATATTCGACGCATATCGTCGGCAAGCTGAACGAGTTAAAGAATAATCCGAACGTAGACGATAAACGAGCGGAAGATATCAAGAACAGCGGTAAGTTGGAAAAATAAAACGTGCGATTTCTATTTAACACTTCAAGTCTAGCCAATAGCAAGAATTAAACATCATCGAAATTTATTTACTATGCAGACGATTTACGCTCCGTGATAAGCGGTCAAACAACGTTCGAATCTCTCTGCTTGAAGTGTCTGAAGATTCCTGACGACGGTGTTACGGAGGTTCATCCGTTTTTCGAGGGATCATTATGCATAGAGTGCTCGGTACAGTAATGATGATACAAAATAATTACAACGCTTCTACGTATGTAGAAAAATACAAGAAAATCATTTGATGTTTCGATATCGTTTCAGAGACAGTACAAACCTTGTATGTTTGTGTTTGGCAACGACTCAAAATGCGTAAGTAGTGTCTGCTTCTTTCGATCGTTAGCTATCCGATACCGATAACAATCCTTTTCTCTAGTTTTACTGTACGATTTGTGCTGCCACCGGGATGGTGATCATTTGCGACAAAGAGGACTGCCCAAGGTAAATTCGTCACAAAGAAAAAGAAAAATATAATATAGATTCACGGATATATTTAAGAGATTGTCCGTTTATAGGGTTTACTGTACGGCTTGCATGAAACATTTGTTATGCCCGACAACGTACGAGCAAGTGCTACAGGAAGATCCTTGGGAATGTTTCCTCTGTAGCAGCGCGTCTCGCTCTATTTCCGACACGATCGTGCGGCCACGGTCAAATTGGAAGGACAAAATAATCGACATGTTCCGTACAAATTGCAATTCGGTCATGCAACCAGTTGAACGGAGCGAAGAAAAAAGAAAGATACGCGTATTGTCTTTGTTCGATGGTCTGAGCACAGGTGATTCGTGGAGACGACTCTTTTCCTCCAACCACCTATTTCCACAAATTTTTCTCACTATCTTTTTACAGGATTACTGGTTCTCCTGAAGCTCGGACTGGTCGTAGATGTTTATTACGCGAGCGAAATCGACCCGGACGCGTTGTTGGTAAGCGCCTCGCATTTTGGTGATAGAATCATCCATTTAGGTGATGCGAGGGATATTACCAAGGAGAAGATCAAGGAAATCGGCCCGATCGATCTGCTGATCGGTGGATCACCGTGCAACGACTTGAGCCTGGCTAATCCTGCACGACTCGGTCTCTATGGTTCGAATTTCATTTATTGTCTATAAAACGTGTGTTTACACTCCATCGTTTCGTATTTTATCCGTTCTCCCTTTCTTCCTCTCTCTCTCTCTCTTTCTCTCTCTCTCGGTTCAGATCCAAAAGGAACGGGAGTTCTGTTTTTCGAGTACTGCCGAATCCTGGAACTGGTGAAGAAAATTAACAATGACCGTCACTTGTTTTGGATGTACGAAAACGTTGCCTCGATGCCAAGTGAATATCGACTAGAGATCAACAAGTACATATTTTATCGCATAAATCAAGCGGATACCTATTCTCCCTCCATTTAAATTAATGCAAACGTGTATTTCAGACATCTAGGACAGGAACCAGATGCGATAGACTCTGCGGATTTTTCACCGCAACACCGGCTGAGACTCTACTGGCATAATTTACCGATAGAACCGCACTGTTTGGCGAATCAAGGCGAGCAGGACGTACAAGATATACTTACGCCACATTGTCAACGTTACGCGCTGGTGAAAAAAATTCGTACCGTTACGACAAAAGTGAATTCTTTGAAACAAGGTATCTCTAATAATTTTGCTACTATTTCTCCAACGTTTATCTTCTAATCTCCAATGATTTCTCCTTCATCTTAGGAAAATTGGCATTGAAACCGATTTTGATGAAGGACGAGAGCGACTCGTTGTGGATAACCGAACTCGAGGAGATATTCGGATTTCCGCGACATTACACGGACGTGAAAAACTTATCTGCCACGAAGCGGCAAAGATTAATAGGGAAATCTTGGAGCGTGCAAACTTTAACTGCCATCTTAAGATCCCTTTGTTCCTTTTTTCAGTGCAATACCATAGAAACTAATTGATCGTGTTATTTGAGAAATTCCACGCTCTAAAGTGGAAATTTTGAAGAGAAAACAATCGAGCGTGTAACGATATTGAAGTAAACCGAGACTTCGTCTAGTCCAAAAATCAGAATAATGAAACAAATTTTGTTCTTCTGTTTCTTTTATAAATCGCTGTTGAGCATTTATTTTATTACAATCAAGACAACAAGCTCTATTTCATACTGTCCGTTCTCTATAAATCTTGTCATCTCGTTTCAGTCTGTGACGTATTTGCATGTCACTTTTTCATAACTGAAAATGATACTTTACACGCACGTTTAACATATCGTACATTTTGTACACGATTTTTTTTTTATTTTATAACGATGATGAAAATGAAAAAAAAAAAAGAATCAAAGAAAACATTAGAAATGGCTATTCGATGATTGAAAAGAAATATCAATGCTATGTACAGCTTCTCAAAACTCATCGACGAATCGTTTTTAAGCATTGTTTTGCACTCTTTGGTACCTCATACGGAAATATCCTCTACGAGGTTCTCGGCTCATTGGCAAAACGTGATTTCCACCGGTGTAAGGTACGTTCTTTTGTTGATTCAACTGTAAAAGCGTGACGGGCACCGGTATACAACCCATTAAACAGTTCACGTATTGCATCACGTATACCGGCAATGGTGTGTTTATAAACACTTCTTCCCGTTCCATGTCGACTCCTCTAACGATTCCTGCGTGCACAACAATTGTCATTTACTTGCATTTAAAACTGTCGTCGATTCCCAAGAGTAATGTGAAATATTCTCACCGAAACCGTAACAAGGGCAAAGAGGCGATCTATCCAGTATGCGAGGACCAGATGTAGTTTCGCTTCTTTGTGGATCGTCGTCCTGTATATCGATTCCACACAGAGCTACTATATTACCATTTATTACGTTTAACACGTGCGTGGGAGGTACAAACGTTCGCGGGATCGAAATGAATAACGAAGAAAAAGGTGTTCTGTAATTAAACAAGTTTAAATTTAAATGCGTTTAAGTATTGAACGATCGTGCACGTGGTATCGTGTAGACACAGAAAGGATACTAACGCGTAGGGCACTGCTTCGTTAATACTTAATGATGCAACATTATTGCGCGACCTAAAAGAAACAGTTCTTTTACATAAATATCGAATTAGGTACGAGTTAAGTAGATAAACGATCTTACATAGCATTGTGAGCGATTTCACTTAGATAGGAGATCATAACGAGTTCCCGCTGTTGATACGGCTCCATGTTCCAGGTTTCGTATCCTGCAGGTGCTTTACGTTCCGCGTGCGAACGTACCACGTAAAGCTCGTGATCGCATGGTCGGTTCCAATCGATATCGTTCACGCTCCACGAAGACCACGGTTGCTAGAAAAATCAAAACACGTTTATTCGATTCTACCAAAGTTCAGATAACCGTGCGCGATCGTAACAATTACCTGTCGATTTACAACTTGTTTACTCAAATATCCAATGTAATTGTTTTTAGCTTTCTCAGACATGATTTGTACCACCAAAGAAGGTCGAATCAATTTTATCGTATACATAATTATCTCCCATCCGATACCCTGAGAGAAACCCATCGTATTCACGACGATGGGTAATTGCGATAGAACGGGACAGTGTAACAATTTATCGATCAACAGTCTGATACTTTCGATGTACCGCGTGATACATCGTGACACGTTCACGTCTCCGATGTACAATTGGAATACAGGTGTCTTTAAATGCGTAAAATTTGGCCCCATCAGAGGTTCCTCGATTAAACTGTACGATATACAACCAGCTGGTGTACATTCCGTTTGACCGGGATCAACATCCACCAATACCACCCGCTTAGACGTGGCTAATATACTGTTTATTAAATAACGGCTAGTAGTAGATTTACCCACGGATTTACCACCAGCGATCAAAGCGCAAGACCATTTGTTTTCGCGCCAGTCGTTTAACATTTTCTCACCAACTTCGTACGCCACGCGTGGATCAACGATCAATTCCTTACAATCGTTGTTACCGCTATAAAGATTCGATTGTAATATTACTTCGGCTCTCTTTGGGCTGCTCCAGGAATGATACGATCCATTTCTTATCTTTGGAAATAATCGAAACGGATAAAAGACGTTCAGAAACTTGGTCAGTTTATTCTCTAAATTCCATAGCAGAACTATCGCCATGCCGCTTTGGATTTGATCTATATCGACGACTAACTTATTTTCCGTACCTCGATTGATACCTTCGGCATTAAGCGACGTCCATATATCCGACTGGTTTTCTACTGAAAATCCATTACTCGTTTCGATCGAAACGTTGCTGTATCCCCTTGGAGAGTAGATCTCGATAGGGCTATTCTTCGTAGTTATAACGTAACCGTAAGCTTGCACCGCTCCGTATATCACTTTTACTACTAATTTACCAGTGAAACAGAACCGTGACTTCTCTGCCATTACAGCCACAATTTTATTCTTGAGACAATAAAACCGTACGGAATACTGATCATTGCGAATATCGTTGCTACTGCTTGGACAAGTAACGTTTACTTCTGTCGTACCGTTATCTTCATCGTTCGCCTCGTCGACAAAGAATTCTTCTTCCTTTCTACTGACAGATACGCCAGGCTTCTCTGGACTAGAATTAGGATCGTTTGCATTGCTGTTTTCTAACGATTTTTTATGTTTTCGTTGTCTACGATTGCTCTTTGACGGTGACGATATTCTATTATGGTTTCCCTCGTTATTGGAATTATTATTTTCGTTCGACGATCGAGTAACGATGATTTCGTTCTGTTGCGCATCGACGTTCTCCATGTACGATGGATCAAAGTCAGCGACATCGTTTTCTTGCGCTCTCGTTTTTTGATTCTGTCGAAATACTTGCGGTATACTGAGCGAAGACAAGCTGTCCGAAAGCGCTTCGACTATTACCGGTGCACCTATGTTTCTTTGTTCTGAAATGTCACTACATCGCTTGTCACAGCTCTCACTGGTTAACGGTGTTCCCGCCGTGTCGTGGTTCGACTCAAAGAAAAGACCCATTGAATCTGAAATTTAAGCAACCCCGTTCCATAATGGTGTTCTTTACCTGAATAAAAGTATTATACCAAATTTTATCTTCAACCTGCAAATATCGTACGGCATTTACCCCGATGTAGAAATACACTCAAAACGACATCAGTTTAGGATAAAAGTATAAAGATCTCTTACTTTGTTTTGCACTTCCAAACTCTTTTGGGACAGTGCGTGACTTTTTCTTTCTTTGTTTTACGATACACTCCGAAATTCCTTGTTTCTTGTTTGGCGAATTTCTGTTTAACGAAGCATTCTGAACGGTTTTACTTTTCGCGCGTGAAGAATTCATAATTAAACCTTTAAGAAAGGATTTCTTTTTTCCATAAACTATTTGATGCTTCGCTTTATACTGTGGCAATATCCTAAATTAAAAAAAGTTGTTTGATGATTATCAAACCTTATCGAAACGTGTTTTGATAAGATGTTATCGATAACCACTCTAACTGGCTAAGTACTTACGCCTTGCTTTGTTTCGTGCCAATTTTAAGAATTTTTGTTTTCAATTTTTTTATTTGCGTCGTTTTCATTTTTATGTTACGTAAACAAAGTGGCTAGAAAGGACGATACTCAGCATTTTAAAGGACGCATCCTTGATGATTAACCTCAAACTAGCTACTGTAAATGAATTTTAGGCTGCACTCTCAAAACATAACCTAATCCAGTTTGCGGTTAGGTTAGGTGGTTCGATGTTTGGCTAGACATGAAAATACTACCTTAATGTAATTTTCAAGAAGAATGACGGGAGCGACTCTTTAGCGACGCATCGCGGCTACTATAGTTACCATCAAATGTTAACGACACATATATAGTCGGAAAATTAAATTCGACTATAATAACCACGAAAAATGGAGTTACCAGTTACGTACTGTTTATGTGGCCGTTCTTACGATTTCGAACAATTTATGATACAATGTGACGTCTGCAAAGAGTGGTATCATGGAGGGTAAGAATTTGAAACTTTTACTATTAACTTCCATCTTCTAAACACTGTGGTTGACTTATCTTTCACCAAATCAAATACAAACACTTGCCTCCTTTTATTTTATAAACAGCCTCTCAGTAATTCGATTATGTTTATGCAATCTGTTTTTCGTAACCTTTTAATTAATAATAACAGCTGTAAGATAGTTTTTACAGGAAAAGGGCTAGGTGTTGTTGATACTAACATAACCTATTTAAAAGGACAAATATTTACGTTTGTTCTTTCGATGTTTAAGCGAATCACATGATAAAACGTAGCTATTTAAATGGTATATTAGTTGCTAAACATATCATACGGAATATATGTACCCACAAATATATAAATACAATTTTAATTTTTTTTCCTTTTATAGATGTGTATCTGTAAAGGAGTACATGTCCATAGATCTCGACAAATATCATTGTCCACGTTGTGAAGCCATGTGTGGACCATCGCTCAGTAAGTACTTGGATATATTTTTCTCCTCTTTATTTTTTACCTCTTTTAAGTTATCGTATAACCAAAATTGTTGTTGTTGTTGTTGTTGTTGTTATTGTTGTTGTTGTTCAAATAATAATTATTCCTTAGTGAAAGTAAGGTTAAATTGGCATAGACATGACTATTCTGAAGTGGATGCAGATACAAAACCAGTTCAAACTGGTACACCGGTATTCATAAGAGAATTAAAGTCCAGACATTTTCCGAAAGCGGATGAAATTGTTAAACATGTCAGAGGACAACAATTGACTCTTCAGTATTTACAAACAAATGGTTTTGAAACTCCTATTATAATCGATGGAAAAGATGGACTGGACATGACCGTACCGCCCCCAAATTTTAGCGTTTACGATGTAGAAAGTTACATAGGTAACGGTTTTCCACAAACGTCGATAGCATTGTTATAACATGTTAAACAGTGATCTTATGTAAGTTTGTATCCCTGAATCCAGGTGGAGATCGAGACATGGATGTAATCGATGTTACAAGACAAAGTAATATAAGAATGAAATTAAGAGACTTTGTTGAATATTACAATTCCCCTTGCAGGACAAGGGTTCTTAATGTGATTAGTCTTGAATTTACAAATACCGGGTATACCAATATTCATTGACTTGCCACATATTGGCTTTAAATGTTTCTAGAAAAATATATGTATAAATTGACAAATACACGTTGCAGTCTTTCACCAATGGTCGAAGCACCATACATCGCGCGTAAACTCGACTGGGTTAATTCTGTTTGGCCGCGCGATTGGTCCGAGGATAGTGACATAAAACGTCCTGAAGTTCAAAAATATTGCCTAATGGGGGTCAAAGACAGTTTCACAGATTTCCATGTCGATTTTGGTGGCACATCTGTGTGGTATCACGTACTACGGGGAGAAAAAGTGTTTTATTTAATCAGGCCGACACCTGCAAATTTGCAGTTGTACCAGCACTGGATGTGTAGTTCGACGCAGAGCGAAACATTTTTTGGTGATCAAGCGGACGCGTGTTACAAATGCGTTATAAAACAAGGTCAGACCATGATGATCCCAACAGGATGGATACACGCTGTATTAACACCGATCGATTCTTTGGTTTTCGGTGGAAATTTTGTACATAGTCTTAACATTCCAATGCAAATACAGTGAGTATACTGTACATTTCTACGTGACTATAAATAACCATTTCTTCGACCGTTATCACTTAATCTCCATGTTTGATTTATTTAGAATATACGAATTAGAGAAAAAAATGAAGACCCCTGCCAAATTTCAGTATCCTGGTTTTGAGACCATCAACTGGTTTGCAGCAAAAAAATTGTTGAAAGAATTGAAAGAATTAAATAACGAGGGGAAAAAGTGTCCGACGTATTTATTACAGGGTGTTAAAGCGTTACTCAGTATTCTCAAACAATGGAACACAGATAAAGATGTAAGTTTACGTTTTGCCTGACCTCGTTCTACCGCAAAATTATATCTCACGGACAGTTCAGAGTTTACTTCTATTTCAGTATAATATGATCAGCAGGGGTCAAATACCGGAAACTATAAATAGTCAGAAATTGTTAAAAGATTTTAGTAAAGAAATTCGACACGCTGAACGATACTTGATATCCTTAAATCCTCCGAAGCCGGAAAGAGAAAGTAAACGTAAGAAAAAGAAACCGTTCAATAAGGATTTCGTAGATTACGACGTTGCTGACAGAATGGCTAATAATCCTTTTAAAGCGACGTTAAAAGAGACGAACAAAGTGGAACCAACGATAAGTGAATCACCGTCGTCCGGCAGACCGCCGCTTAAATTAACTTTACCGAAACCTATCATGTATCCTTATGTTAAAAATCAGAATTCATTGTCGGAAGAGAAAAATGTCCCTCCTGGTAGCAAGCGATCGTCAAAACCGGGAAAACAGAGTCCAACTGTAATAAGATTTAAGCTTGGTAATAATGAAGTCGTGAGAAGTACACACGACAATGTAAATGTATACAATAGTTTAGCTTCGGATCATCCTCTTGGAACATCGAAAGAATTAACATGGAAGCAGACCTCTATTTACGATTTCCACGATGGTAGTAACGAAAGCGATTACGGTCGGTTCACGATCGATGAATCGCCTAAACGAAAGAAAACGCCGAAAAGTAATGCCCAGAAACGGTTAAAACGGGATTACGACGGGGACGTCGACGTTTTAACAGACGCGCCCAAAAATGGTATCGAGGAATTGTTGAAAGCCTCGGCTTATACCTTAGGAAACAATGCCCAGAGATTAGATGTAACGTACGTATGCGTATTTCGTTAAAAAATTTGAAATTCTTGGATGATACGTTTAATACCTTGAATGATTATAGGACTTCAGTGATTCCACAATACAATCAACCAATGCCACCTCCCAGTGGGTAAGATAAAGCTTGAAACAAAAAGTAGCGCTTTTGAAAAGTGTTTTTGCTTCAGCGTACTTAATGTACATTATGTCAACCCTGTTCTACTATGTAGTATTAGTCATTTTCTATATTTTTTCTTTTGGTAAAAATGTGAAATTAGTGTAGTTGTTTTTTGTTCGTTATTTTTTTTTTACTATAACAGTAAAGCACTGTTATGTTTAGCATTTTTGGTGTCCTAGTATTTATAAATTGAAAACAACCAGTTCTGGCAGGGCATCTCCGTCAACGCGGGAAGCGATCGCTGGGATGTTATCGTTCAGCGAGCAATGCTATTCAACCACGTCGAATAATACTTCGAAATCGACAAAAACTGGTAAAACTCAACGCGATGACGACGACGACGATCAGTCGATAGAAAATATTGATAAAGTTCATCAGGACGATGATTTCAGTATGTAGAATTATTGTTGTATATGAATGCAATTTTAATAGTAACCGTGTCATAAATAATTGTATATCCCTTCGATACAGTTTACCCAGCTTTAGACGCTTCAGACGACGAGGATTATATTTTTAAGCCCAAAGCGAAAAGTCAGATAGACGAAGCATGGAATCCAAAGGCCAGGGTGGGACCTCTCTTGCCAAAAACGAATCGTCCGGCTCGAGAAGGCGTAAAGAAAACATCCGTTGAGAAAGGATTGGAAGCAGCGGCAGCAAAACGCGCGAAGCAATCGGTATGTAAACTTTGTTTATAGGATACACGCATACTATAACACAAATTAACTTACATTTTCATGGTGTGCATAATTATTTATTTACATTCATTTGCATTTCCATAATTATTTCTTTCTTGCATACTCATATCGCATAGGACGATTATCTGGATAACAACATGGATAAGGGATCCAAAAAGAAATTGGTAGGATATATTACAGCTTCACTTTTCATTTTGTAACATGTGTTGCATGCATTTTAATAACACCTAAATATCACATTTTACTTCATTGTGATTGTGTAATATCATAAAAGTATAAACACTGTACGTTTAGTATTCGGCTGTTATTTTTTATTTTGTCACATTTATTGTCTCGTTTCTTTTCATTTAAACACAAGATAAAAAAAATAAAATTACATAATCTTTCTGTTTTCTTTTTTTCATATAATACAACAGAATACAACTAAACGGACATACAATAAAAAGAAGCCGAAAAATTCATCCGTAACATCGGCAAGTAGTGCATCGACCGCGTCTTCAGAAAATACCACAAAAACGAGCGTTGGTTTCGGTTCGATACTAACCAGTCCTAATAGGCTTAAAGACGTTAAAGCAAAACTAGCAGCTCCAATTCCAGTTGGTAATGTATTATTTATTCGATTTATCTTCGACGTTATTTCACGATGGTAATTTTCATTCATAACGAAGTTTGAAAATGTTTCGATAATCCTATTTTCAGAACGAAAACCAAAGAAAGGAATGAAAACGGCTAAGCAACGCTTAGGAAAAATTTTAAAACTTCATAAAATGATGCATTAAACGTAGGTAAAAGATATACAGCGAAATAAACTAAACATCACATCATTTTCTTTTTCATTTGTGTACAAAAATCACGCACGCAATTTGGTGTACATTGCTATGTAAATATATTCTACACGTTAAGATAGTATATCTATCTTAAGAATCTAGGTTTTATAATTATGATCATTTTGTAACGAAATATTTATATTTATTATCATATTATTTAATTTTAAGGCAATATACAGTATGTTTTGATACTTGACTACTTCAGTAAGGCATTGTTGAGATCGCGGTCACTTACCGAGGTTTTTCCTAATTGTACAATTTAATTCTGAACATTTATTTGATATGAGCTCGAAAGAAAATTTTGTCAATCTATGAATGTAAAGAGGCTGTAGTATATTAAATCTTTTTCAAATTAGGTATTTAATGGTTGTAATAAATTTCGTACATCAAAAATAATCGTATATCGATTAGTCGAAAGAACTAATTCAAATTTTTATCTGATCGTGGATTATTTATTATACTTAGTATTCGTACTAACGTATAATGAGATTAAATTTATTTTCATTAATTGATTTTACATTAACAATAAATTTTTTCCCGCAGTTGTCTTATTTAAAGAAAAATAAGACGGCAATATATTTTATAATATGACTTCTATTTTTGTCAATAAGAACGTTTATTTAATTTGTTTTTTTTTTTGTTTTTAATGTACTTTTTTTTATAATTCTAATTAGCCAGATAGATCAGTAAGTAATACGACAGTTTGTATATATGATGTCTTATATTGTGACCTTACATTGTACATACATACATACATATAGACACACATATTAAAGCATTAACTTTCTGTCTCATAAAAATTTGTCAATAATACAACCAGCAAATTATATCAGTGATCAATTGATATACTTGTTAATTGTAAAATGTTACAACGGAAGTAATATACATCGATGAAATGCAAAAGATAATACGTTAAAAGCAGCGTATTGATATTGTTAACTTTTTTTTAATAAATTCGATTTTTATCGACAGTAGTGACATCCTTAATACAAAATTCAAAGTGATGTAGTTACATTTTTCATGTAACCTTTATATTTTTAAATAAGCGTTCAACTAATAATTCGATGAATATTTCGTAATTCCCGCTAACAATAAGCGGAAAATTTAAAAGTGTTCGAGCGCATGCGCGCGATTGCCAGTGATCAGCAGTGCTCAATGATACCTCGTCTGGTGCTGATCGTTTTGTCAAACTCGTCATTAACCTGACGTGTTTTCGCGAGAACGTCTTACAACCGTCCCTTTTTGTATCGTTTATTGATATCGTGTACAAATATATATTTCGATTGTATCGGAAACATCTGTGTTCGCTTTAGTGACAAGTTCTAGTTTTTTTAACAAATTTTTCGTTAGAATTCATAGTGTTATTCGTATGTTACATACAATAAAATATAAAACTTGTAGTTGTCGATTCGTGAACAGATCGTGAAATAGTGAATCAATACGAAAAGGAAAATTGTAATGTGCGATAATACCGACTGAAATTTCGATCGTTTCTTTTCGACCGCGTGGAATATTCAAGACGCCATCGCGTGTACTTGACGTTTACAAGGTAAGCAAATTGCATGCGTTTTTTAATTTAATCTTTACATAAAATAATATTTATCGTGTTGGGATGTGTATGTTACTCCATTACCTGCTATAAAAAAATAACCTAACATGCCTACTTGTACTCTGCCCCCGCACATGTTCTAGACTCGAAACTCAACGCGTTTCCGTAACAATCAATCTATCCTTCGTTCAATAAAATTAAATGTTTTATAATATAAAAGTTATACATATATTTAAAAGTATGCAACGCTTTGCGCCATTTGAATGTCGTTGATGAAATCGAGTCTTTAAAAAGTGGAATCTATCGCTAACAAATGTTCGCATACGTATGTACTTCCGCCTCTGCAGTAATACTTTTTATGTATGTACTGCTTTTAACTTAAAATAGATCGGTCACGAGGCTTGTCTTTTTTTTTCGCTGACACATTCAAATTGAACTTCAGCTATATAACGTTTGAAAATATTATTAGATGAGAATTGAAAGATTCAGACGATACTTTGTATATAAAAAATAAGTATACCGAATAACGTGTATGTATATAGATTATGTACCGATATTTATGAAATCAGTTTATTACTTATTAGTTAGTAAAGAATTATTATTATCTAGCACAAAGAGTAGTTCAGTAAAACAGTAGTTTACGTAGGTAAACTCCTTTGCCGTTTGTAGGTACATTCGAATAAAAATTGCTAGTGTAATTCCTTCCCGATTATTCGTAACTTACAATTAGTAACGAACGTTATGCGTTGTATGTATATAAATACATGTACAAAATTTCGCAAATCTTTTATCGGTAAGAGTTAGACAAAGTTATTGCGTTAAAATATCTCTGTGGCAGGGTAGAAAAAAAAGCGTTTAACAAATCAAAAGAGATTACAGCAGCGTGTTTCTCAATTAAAGCTGTAAATTAAAAAAAAAAACATGTGCGAATTTGAGAAAAATCAATGAAACATCGTTTTACGGCGGTTAATCGATTTCGTTGCGTATTTAGTAGGTTACAAAATCACGCGAATCACGTAATACTTATCAGTGGAAGGTCGAACGTTAGTTTGAAATCTTGTATCATAATTACAATTTATGATGCATAACACTTATCTGGTAATGTTGTAACATCGCTAGTCAAAACATATGTCGAACAAATAAATTACGAAGAGAAGCTAAACACCGATATAAAAAGTTTCTTAAATCGTAATTATATTGATAATGAAATATTTTGAATGAATAGAATGAATAGAAATCGGGAGAATCACTATATACGTACTTTCGCAACACGATCTTTCGATTTCAAGTTTATCTTTTTACATGAAATCGATTATGTATGTATATAACGTAAAGTTGATTGGAAAGTTTAGATAAAGAACTTGAGGGTCGTTGGTTTGATTGTCTAGTGATGCTGGTTGTTTGGCAAGGAGCTCGCCGTTGCCTGAGTTGCAGCGGGCAGCGCACTAATCAAGGCTACCAACTGCGCCGTCATCGTGGGTCAGTCAGTGATAAACTTGATCGATATCAGCTAGTTGGAACCGGGTAAGTCAATGTTTCCGTTATACTGGTAGGTATCACTGTTAATTCGTGGTAACACACTGGTACATACCTACTCGCGTTCCCTGCCATTTTATCGATCCAACGTCCAACTCTTTGACTCTTTCTCTGGTAAATATCATTTTAGATTCAAGATGATACATTTGAACAACGATTGCTTATGTATGAATTATCGTTGACTCGTTATATCGTCTGGTGGTGACAATCCTGCTATTGTCGCTAATATTACACATACTTTTTTAAAAACGAAGGAAATGCTAACTTGTTGCTATTAACCAGTTTTTCTTCCGTCAGTTTACGATTCTGATACTCGGAAGAATTATTTGTCGAGCTTCGCCATAGAATTTATCCAATCAAACTCTTTCGCGTGAATCAATTGCTCGGAGGCTAATAAGATAGTCGACGTAACAGGAATAGCCTTTTTATCTTTCGGTACAAAGTTCAATGCACGTAGGTGCTTATTACAGCATTTTAAATCAATCGGACGCCGGCGTTAGTAAACCATACATCAATGTTACGCACACAGATGCGTGTACGCATATACGTACATGGCACAATCATATACGCGTTAAGAACTCTGGACATTGTGTCAACGTACTTGGAGACTCGAGTAATCCTCCGCTCTTGTTGACCCGGCCAATTGATCGAATCGTTTAATCGTGGAAAAATTTTGCGCTCGCCACTAAAAACATTGCTATAAACATTCACGATAATTTGGAACACGCGCATCCTCTACTTACTACCCGGCCAATGTAAATACACGCTTACCATACGTACAGCGTAAATCTGAATGGCTTTTTTTGTCGACAAAGACTACGAAACGTTACGGTTAGCGATGTCGCGCGGTAACGTATTCGTTTCTTCGACGAACAAGCAAATTTTCAGGTTTACAAAAAACAAAATCAAAATCGTTGCAACAACGAGCCGAGTCGGTAAATGTATAGAAATTCACGTGTTCGACGCAGGGCCGACGCACATTTGTTTGTTCCGAGTTCTTTAAGCACCTTTGTTCGATATGTACAGTATTATTGTAAATATATTGTGAATCGGGCCTGCGTCGAGCAAGTGAATTTTTATACATTTTCTGGACGGATTATAAATAGGTTCTTTTTTCTATACCCTTTTCGCCTTCCAATACGAAAAATTCGACGAGTAGATTACTCGTTTAAGGTTTTTGTGTTCAATTGAAAAATGCCAATTGAGATCAGCAACGGACAAGAGGGTTTGCCGCGATCGGTCACAGCTGGTACATAATTATTGGCAATAAGCATGGCCGGAGGGGCATAAAACTTAGTCCGATTCATACCGGTGCGTCAGTCAGCAATTGGACACCGGAGCGTTCGTGTCTCGCGAAGGTCGTGCTCGCTTGTTGTCGGTGCTGTACGCTCTTTTATATTTTACTTTCAATTTTTCCCTGTTAAAACTGACTTTTTAAATCGTTCTTTTTACAATTGACTCGAATATTCGTATCGTATACGCGTAATTTGCACGTATTTTTTGATTAATCAAATTGAAGCATACTCGGGAAATAAGTGTACCTAACCTCCAATTGTATTAACTTGCTGACAAGAGATACTGAACAGTGTGGTGTCACAAACAAAAAATCACGTGTATCGAAACGGAGAGGTATTTTAACGTGCTCGAAAATATTTCTTACGACTCATTTATGATCTAAAATTACGTAGTGCGTATCTTTTCGAACAAAATATTTCACGAGTGAAAACGTAAATGATTGGAATGTGATGTTTATTGTGCTTTGGTTTATACGCGATTTTTCTTCGGTGAAATAGTTTCGAGGTTAAGGACGCTTCGAAAGAGAGCCTGAGGTCGTTTCAATGGTATGTACACAATACTTTTTACCGTGACGATACGTTTCATTATAAAAGGCTTAGAGTTATCTGTTATTTTCAAAAAGCACATTTCTCGAACACGAAGATTCATATTTTCACAATTTATCTTTTTTTTTTTTAATTGTTTGTATATAATTTTGTAATTGTCATTTCATTGTTTCTCATTTAAATTCGTTTTATCGCCCAATTAAAAATAAGAGTACGAATGGCGATACGTTATCATCTTACAAAAAAAGGAATAAAAAAGTAAAATTACATTTCTTGAAGCGCATTTCGTGATTCTTCTAGAGGTATGCTCGTGTAATTGCTAAATTAAAATAATTTTAAATGTTTATTCGGGTGAGGTTATTAAAAAATGTAAGATTAATTGTATCTTTATCGAATAGCGATTATTCTATCGCAGTCAAAGAGGGCACTTCTGGTAACCGTACGGTGTAGTAACGTGAGCTCATACGACACGTGGTATCTTCGGTCCTCTTCGGTCCTTTCCGTATCGATTCGGCGGTTCTCGTACATTTAAATTTGTTTCTGAAAAATTTACGGTCGGGCTGCGGGCTGTTTTACAAACAGTCGAGAAAGTTATTTTCTTCGATAATTTCCATCCTGTTTCGTAGTTAGTCTATGATAATAGATTGCGAGTCATTGCAGTGGCAAAAAGAAAATTGCAGTAGGTGTTAAATTGCGCGTCTTATCGTTTACAAGCAAATATTTGAAAATCAAATAATTATTTATTTATTTGAATATATCGATCGTAACAATGAAAATTTTGTTCATTTATGGTCGAGATAAAATTAGTGAATGATTCGTTTCGTGGGCACGTGGTTCGTCTTCGGCTATTTTCGCTGATCTTCGCGCAATGTCGATGTCTCTGGCTAGTTGCCACAATTCACGCATACACGTTGATGCAAACCAGTTCATACCAGGTTGTCCGTGAGTCTAGATCATCGAGCTCGAGCGAAACAGGAAAAATTAACAAGAAATATGATTCGCGGAAAAATTTTCACCCGTCGTTCCTTATCCTACCTACACCTCACCGAATCTTTTATCTTTTCTACTTATAATAAAAAGCGAGCTTAGTAGTTCCTTTAATGTACAGTAAAAATTGAATAGCATTTTTATTGAAAACACCGTGGAGACAAATTTGTAGATATGTATCTACCTTGATCTAAGGCAGAAAAAGATAGAGCGTAAGATTTGGCAAGTATAAGAAAAAGAGGGGAGAGTGGGAGAGAACACGCGTGCTTGGGAAAGAGAGAGGTAGAGAGCGAAAAAGATGCGGGGAGAGTGTCTGAACGGTGGAGGTTCGGTCGGGATACTCTCGGTCAGTCACATACGTAACACGGTGCTGTGATCACGTTTTCGTTTCTCTGCAACGAGCCGATTAATTTCGTCATCAACTAAATATACGTGTACAACGGTCGTACTGTTTCGCTCTTTGATACTTGTTCCGCGTGTGATTTTTTTTTTTTCTTATCGGTAGTGGGTATATCGTAAGGGTGCGAGTGACATTGGTACACGATACTTTTCCTCTCTTTTTCCATCTGGTTTCAGCGACGGATCGAACGAAGGTAAATCACGTTTATTCCGTGTAAAACGGTATTCGAATATAAAATTCGATGGCACGTGTGCTGACGTTCGTCGTCACAAAGCCGGATCCACTTTTGGTCACTCGCTATGGAAATTCTATTTTTTTTTTAGGCTGTCTTACATAATGGTTTACGATGATTTTTCTTTGTCTCTTTTGATACGTTGCTTTACCGCAAATTAAAGACGAACACGAATATGTTCGAGCAGGGATCGAAATCGATTTTGGAAAATGTTAAGTAGATACGCGCGCGAATGAAGAATTTTGCACGTGGGTACTTTGTTGTTAGACGAATCGCGGACAAATCGCATCTTTTTCTTTTGGCGTAGAAAAGAAGAACAGAATATAGGTAGCCTTGAATTTGATATTTTGCATTTTGCGCGCGTGTTTACTCCCAGGGTCACATTGAAAGGTTGTTTATTTCGGCATTCCTGTAATTCGTCGAGTATCGATTTAAAAAAGACATTAAGCTTTCGATTAACGTAAAAGCATGACGAGCGCCTCCGTTTTTTTTTTTAAATAAAATTTTCTGCCGGTAACGTTAGCAGAGTCGTCGGATTTGAAATCGATCGATCGATACAACGCGTATATCGATCTAAATGAGATTTCGCGTTGTCTTAAGTAATGTTGAGTTATAATGTTAGTATGGCAGTGTCACAATGAATTGAGAAGTTGCCAAAATTGATTTCAAAGTGAGTTAGAGGGTCGACCTAATAGTATTATTAGATTTCGTTAGTGTTGTAAACTTATTCTCGAGAAAATATTTCTAACTCCCCCATGAGATGCGTTTACATCGAATCTTTTCGAAACCAGAGTGCGCGTTTACATCTACAAAAATCGTTTCATTTAACAAAAATATATGCTCATTCGAGGAATATTCGTAAAATTTGTAGAATCGCGTAGAGCGTGTCAATTGTCACGATGCTCGGTAGACGGTGTACGGAGGGAAAGCGGATACGTACGAACGCGCCTTCGGCCGACTTTATCTCTGATTGGTTGAATTCGTAGGCGTTGGTTTCGAGTCGAGTTGCGATTGGTTCGACCGGTCATCGACCAAGGGGCTCGATCATCAGCGGTTCTCATTCGATTTTCTTTTTTCTTTCTCTTCAACATTTCTATTAAAGACGACGCGTGACGATAATTTCATCGAGACCTTGAAATTTCATTAACTTTTTCCGAGTAACGCGTTTGAAAAACTTAGAAAATTAATCGATCAAATCGTAATCGTATCTTCCATAATCGGCGTACGTGTGCAATGCTCGAATATTGAAATCAAGTTCAAAAGGTCACGCTATTTAGTATCTATAAAGTTTATATCGTTTTTAAGGCGTTTTAACGATTTTCACTGGTGTAACGAAACTTGAGTTCATCAGATATAACATGTAAGTTATTTTAACGATAATGACGTAACGAGACGAAACGTATCACGAGACTTTGTACAATCTCGAACGACAGGAGCCGAGGTTCCACTGACGTTGCAGTTTTGTCCGCGGCAACTTCAATTCGCAGAATCCGAATGAATACCGAACGAAAAGTTCCTCGTCAGGATAATTTATGTCGCATAAAAAAAGATAAAGATAAAACGATATGGTGTTCACAGTTTGTAACGCGAGTCTTTATCGACTATGCATTCGACACTAAAGACACTCGATTACCGTGTATCGGTAAATAAAAAGGATCGAGTAAGCTAAGGATCGATTACATAAATGGATGTTAATGAAAGCAAAATGAAAACTCGGATTTAGGGAAGATCGACGATAGGAGGGACGTTAGTTATTAAGAATTCTTATAATTGCAGATCGAATTGCTGCGCAAAATCATTCTGCAATTGAGTACTGGTTTATCTTAGGTAACGCGCTGCCATTTTGGATTCCGAAATAGAAGCGAACGCAATCAATGAGAAGTTTTCAAAGAGGAAATAATTTAGATGACAGAAATTTGAAGGTAGCCAGCCAAGTGTTTACATTACATTCCTCGAATTGTCAGGAATAAGCGAACCCTGGAATCAAAAGTGATTCGCGTAAACATTTGGCAACTCTACCTTTGTTTCGTATCGTCACTGGCCTAAATTCCAATTTATGCCTGCGTCTTTCTCGATCGTTAGTTAACCCTGACTTTAATTTTTGAAATTTGTTAAAAACTAGAAAATAAATGGGTATATACATATGTATGTAGAAGGTGAGTAGGTATAGAGACGTTCCATTAAAGTTTTACGAGGGGCTCGTCGCGACGCGAATAATCATTGGTCGTCGCGTAATCTGACGTAAAGGTACGAAATGAAATAATTGAGGGTTCGCGCAATTGCGCTTTATTATTTTGTTCCCTTCCTTGCGAATCGGGTGCGACGGTATATCAGACTCATCGCGATTACACTTTATCGGCGAACGAGTCGTAACTGCGATAAAAATTTTCCACGGTGGCTGCTCTTTCGAAATCCGTTCCGAGTCAACTTTTTTTCTTCTTCAAAATCACGAGATCCGGTTTCCAACGAATCTCTCGACCACGTGATACCAGAGGAGAACTAGAAACAACGTGTATCTAGTACGTTTTAGCGGGAAAGAAAGGAGCAACTTTACGCGATCCTTAGATCGTTCAGACACTATTGGCTTTGCTTTCAAAAAGGGACAGAAAGACGCGTTGCATCATCCTCGGAGCGTCTTTCCTTCACCGATCCCTTTGCACCCATCGCTCGGAGAGAAGGAATTTCAAGCTACGTGACGAGATACACACGTCTTGGATTCTCTTGATGATTCAATATCGCGTGGAATTGAGGAGAACCGAAAAGGAATGCTTCTCGGAATAATTAGCTTTCAGTCCTGGAATAAATTGTCTTGTCTCGTCTCTGTTACGTTTCCACGATCGACGATTTGTTTCACTGGTGTCTTGCATTACCGACGGTTGTTTTGTGTTTGCTCTTTATCGACCACGATCGTCAATACCGACGCGAGTGCGTTTCGTTGCGTTGTAGCGTCGAAAGAGGGAAGCGCCGACTTGCGTTTAAATTAATCTCTAGATAAAGCGCATAAATACGATTCAAGTTTGATAGAAGTCGAATCGAATGCTGGTTTTTCCTGTTTCTAAGGCGGTCGATTAGATAAGAAGGCGCGACACCGATCCCTAAAAGGACGATCGTTTGACCGAATCCTGAGACCACCTGTTGTGCGTGGTGTCGTTAATATTAAAACATTCATTAATATACTCGTAATTTTTCAGGAGACTATTGATTGCATAATCACACTGTTGCACCTTGTTGCTGTTTCGCGCGGTTCGTTTTCAGTTTTACTTATCTATAATACGGTACCTTGCTTTTCTCTAGCCTCTGTTAGGTTTCACAATGTTTATCTATTTCCTGCTTGTACAATTTTCTTCTTATACCTTGCGTTGTCCTAAAAATAGCCTATCAGTTGGTCTAAATGAAACGAAACGGAATGAAATTATCGATGAATATTTTTCGCCATTGAACGAAAGAAAAAAAGGTTTCCCGTGTGTTTCGATTGTTCGCAAGAAGTTCACGTGCAGACGGCACAGGTGTACAGCTGCGTCGAGGCGCGAGGCTCGATGAAAAAACGAAACCGCTTCTGAATTACCTAATTGCCAGAGACTCATTAGGCGAATAGTATTCGACCGCGGCGTTCGATAATTACTCGTTCGAAGCTCATTGTTATCGTATCGCCGTTGAACCGTTGAAATTGCTCGTTCTAATGGCGAAAGAGTATTCGAGGTTGCTCCGATGGTCCTCGCTGACAGAAACTATTCGGCGCGATCTCTCGATACCGCGGTCCCTCTGCTCCGACCTATTTCCGACTAAAAATAGCCAATAGAATGATTGTGGTTAAAGCAACGTCCATTCTCTCGCGTGGTGTCACGATTAAACTCGAAGACTCCCTCTCTCTCTCTCTTCCCTTCCCTCTTGCCATTCACCGGTACACGGGCATTTTTGCGACCCTTCTCGCAAGCCACGGTTCGCTAGTCGTCGTCGTCGTACGTGTTTCTTGGAGCACGCGTGCCCGCAACGAGGACGCTCACTTTCAGTGTTTATCATCTTTATCATGTTTATTCTGTTTATCCGTCGCGCAATTTCACGCTTCAACTAGTCATACCCTTTCTCTTCCTCTTACAAAGAGATATTAAGGAATTTCGTCAGGGACCAATAGGAGCACCGATATTGAAATTCGGAAGATCGTGCGTATCGGCATCATGCGTATTCGTCGAAAACGTGATCCGTCCTTTGTTTCTTCGGTTCCTTATCGAGAAAATTTAGTCGAAATTTATCGAAGAACCACGATTTACTTTCCCTCCACCTCGTTCGCATTTTACCGTACGTGCCGAATCGCGGTAAAAGCGATTGCACGCATTCCGAAACGCGAAAGTAACAGATAACGGAATTTCACCGATGGTCCAGCTGTCCTTGACCGTATTTATCGTCGCCGTCCTTAGACAATTCGATTCGTAGGAAAAATCGTCGAGGGGAATTCTCGGGGTCGGAAAGAAAGGCAAACTCGTTTGCTCGTTCGAATCGACGCGGTTGTTAGAATCGAACGATTGTACGTTGTTCCAGGCCAATCGGAACGCACCGTTTCGGAGGCTCGACAAGCGCGTTCCGTGCGCATTCTTAAGCGCATTCCTTGCGCACGATCGCGCTCATAAAGCGACCGCGTGCTCCCTCAACCGACTTAGTTGCACACCGCATCTCTTACCGTGCTTCTCCCGCTTCGTGGTTCGTGCTTCGTGCTTCCCGCCTTCACCTTCCCCGATCGAACGATCATCTCGATCTCTTCCCATTCCGTTCGAACTTTTCTTATTTTCTCGTGTTTCTTTACCCTTTGATTTTTCCATCAAATTATCTATTCTTCTCTCTTCCCGAAGCACGAACGACACGAGTCCCGGTCAGCTTCGAGGAAACATTGGATTACGACTTGATCCGTCGTAAGTACTTCATCGGAAGGCAAAGTAGGTTGTACGATCGAACCTAATCTACGGTTCGAATTAGCGATTTCTACTTTTTCTCTTTTACGAAAAGGTATATAGAACGAACAACGAGAAGCTTTTTACGCCGAAAACGTATCGCGTGATCGTTGTCGTCGCGCCATAGGATCGGCTTACCTTGCACCGAATCGAATACCAATACCTATCGTGTTTTGGATCGAATCGAAACGTCGTGGTCGCGTGGCGTGAGAAACATCTCGCGAATCCACGCGGAAGCCGAAGAAGAAAACGCGTACGCGTTCTCCGCGTGTCGGTCATAGCTCGAATAAAGCGACGGAAATTGACGTTTTATCTGTTCGATCGATTTGTCGTTTATCATTGAAAATGAAAGACGAGAAGCGTGCACTTTCTGCCTTTGATCGATTTTCCGTCAGTCCTCTCGATGAACGATTTCATTAACGAAATTGCCCGCGAAACGGCGCGGTGCGATAAATCCTTTGTGCTCGATCTACTCTCGCGAACATTACGGCCTTGCTTCGTTTCTCGCGGAAATTTTCCTAATCGTTTCGATGCGTTCCATGAATCGTAATCGCGCAAATATGATCGATAAGTTAATAATCCGGCGCGTACTTTGGAAAAAGGGTTTGCCTCGGGTAATCGCATTTTGTGTTTTCTGACGATAGCGTATCACTTATTCGAACGACAAGAGGAAGGTTGCTTTCCGCCAGGCGTTCCCAACTCTGTCGGAACGATTCTGTCGAATCATCGTCTGTAGCGTTCGTCATTGCTTTGCCAGCTGTCGGAAACGATTACGCAATCGCGAATTAAATCCGTAGAGGCTCGGTCCGCGCGCGCGAAAAAAAAGTCACACGATCTACCGACGCGACGACGTTGTCCTCCGATTTATTTCTAAATCCCAGTTGCACGACAGCTTCCTGACCTCTCGAAATCGTTTCTGTTTCAGGCAAGATGAGGCCGTGTTGCTGGAGCTGAGACCGCCTCGCAGGCTGCGAAAGACGCAAGGTCCGCATCCACGAGCGATCACCAAAAAGTAAGAAAAAGCTGAAATATCGTCTCGCGTCTTGTCTTTTCCACGCTACGAAACGTCTAAAAGTAAACTAGCGAAAGACTAGCGAAAATATCAAGAAAGACAGAAAGTGGGAAAAGACGTACGAAAGGCAGGCGGGCGATAGGCGGTCAAAAGTGAGAGAGAGAGTTTTTGAGCGAAGGAGAGAAAGGGTGAGAGAGAAAGGGGAATAAAGGCAAAGCGTGTACGCAAAAGATCCACGATCTTAGATCGTAGAGCAAGAACGAAAAGTGGAAACAAAGAAGGAGAAGGAGGAGGAAGAGAAGGAGGCAAAGAAGGAAAAGCGAGGAGGTGGAATAAGAAGAAGGATGTTTTGAAAAGTATCGATTGCTAAGAGATTCGGTGCCGTAGGGTTTGTTTTCTGTTAAACGGTACAGACGAATCGAGCGCAACAGTTTCGAAGAAACTGATACGAAAGAAAGAGGGTGGTGTGATCGCGAGATAAAGTCGTGCTGAAAACGAAAAATTAGGAAAAGAGGAGAAAACGAAAGCACGAAAACAGTATCGCAGGGGGGCAATCGCGTCGAGGGATCGCCAGTTAAGAGAAAATGGCCCCGTGCTCTTCCACAGCCTGCGTTTCGATGAATTGCTTGTTGAATGCTGTTTTCCTCGCGTTCCTCGTCATTCTTCGATGTCACGTTAGCGCGGACAAGACAGGCATCTCGAAACCGCCTCCGTGTCAAAGGTAAGTGCAATATCGACCATTTGATAGACGCGCGACGGAGAACCTAGCGAATTGGCCGATTCACGCGAGCTGGCCAACGGCCATCCACGCGCACATCTCCCTTTTTATCTCCCCTTCTCTCGCCTTCTCTCGCCTTCTCTTATCTTGCCTTTCGGTTATCATTCGCCTCGATCCACCACGATCTCGCCTCTCCCTCCGATTCCTTTCGTCCTCTTTTCCAGCCGCGCTAGTGCCAAATCTCGCTTACCAACGATCGCATGCTTGCTTGTACAAACGATTAAAACGCAACGTTGACTTATCTAACCGCGTATCGTGACACGCGATCGATCGATCGATCTTTGCGCTAAAGTCGGCTGACCGGTCGCGCAACAGCTGATTGACGTGGCGCGAGATCACGAGTGCTCTCGCGTCGTCTCGTGTCGTCTCGTATCGTCTCGTATCGTATCGTGTTGCGTTTGGCAAAAATACTTGTTGTCGATTCGATCGTCTGCCAACCGATCCGTGGTATATTTTTGTTTTCGCAAACAACCGTCTCGCTGATTCATCGTCTGTCAATGATCGCTTTTTTTCTTTTTTTCTCTCATGCAATTTTTCCACAAAGCGGTAATGTTCGAGATAACCCTATTCGCGAGCCAACGACAGAAACGTCCTTAGCAATGAACTGCACGAAACGATGCTTGCCTCGAGCAGAGCTGCCTTTTAAATTAACGTGTTCCGCAAGTACAATGAACGTGACCTTAGTACGTTTTGCTACGACGCGATGCGGCTCGCGATCGACTCGAATCGACTCGAATTGAACCAAGACGAAACGGGAAGAGACGATAACGTTCCAATCTCGCGCTACTTCTTATCTCGAGAACCGTAAACGTGCCAGGTGCCAGCGAGAAAACCGCTTTTTCGAGATTGCCAGAAAACCCGCACGGTTTTACTATGTTGAAATCCTGATCGACGTTAACGGAAGAATTGAAATCAATCGATCCGAAGCTTGGAAAACGATTCTTGGATGCTCTTGCCTCTACCTTTCATTGCGCCTTCATTTTATTGCGTTGTAACGGATATCTAGAAGATTGCTCGCGACAAACATTAAGTTGATTAAGAGAACACGAACGTTCGACGGTGCGGTGATAAGAATTATCCGCTTTACTCGCACGTTTTACAGTTACAAAAACGCGCGCTATATCGCGAATTTTATCTTAAATTCCTCAATAATAGGGATGAGATCTATCGTCCCGAGGTCGCGCATAACTGTTTACCGAATTTACTAAACATTCTCGAACTTTGTAAAAGCTTGCAATTTCGTTTTTTATCGTTTTTTTTATTATAGGTTCGTTGTTAATTACATACCTATATGTTAGTCGCGTAACCAAGATACGACTGACCGTTTCAGATACCGTCCGCCGAAATGACATTTGCATCGATATCAGTTTCGCGTCGAAGGTTAAAAGTATCGCGACGACAAGTTTTCAGGCTGCGTTTTCATTTCTTTCGAGATAAGGGGAAGTAACGATGAAATAAGCGAAGCTAGGCGTCGGACAAATGTGGCGACGATCGGTCGATTTTTAACTCAGAGGTGGTCGCGTCGCGTCGTTCTTATTAGCTAACTTACTTGAAAAGAAATGTATAAAGGAGACGCGATGCGACAAACTCGATGAAAAGAAATTGAAGGAAATCAAGATTGTGGGTATGCGTGTGTGTGGCTTGCAGCGATATTTACTGCCATGGGGAACTGCTGCACACGATACAGATGGCCTCAATCTACAAGGACTCGAAAACGTTCGTGGATATGAAGATGAAGCATCCGCCTAACGAAACGTTAATGCTGTTTCGCGAGTTTATGGAGCGGGTCGATCAGATGCCGACCAGACATCAGATCGAGCAGTTCGTCAACGATACCTTCGATCCGGAGGGATCCGAGTTCGAGGATTGGGATCCAGCCGACTGGACCTCGCGACCAAAGTTTCTCAACAAAATTCTCGACAAGGAGCTTCGTAAATTCGCCTCCGATCTGAACCACATCTGGAAAATGTTGGGTCGAAAGATGAAAGACGACGTAAAAATCCACGAGGAACAGTATTCGATAATTTACGTGCCGAATCCAGTGATCGTACCCGGTGGTCGGTTTCGAGAGTTTTACTATTGGGACTCTTACTGGATCATCAAAGGGTTGTTACTTTCGGAAATGTATTCAACCGTGAAGGGAATGCTGAGCAACTTTGCCCTGATCGTGGACAAGATCGGTTTCATACCAAACGGAGGGAGAATTTACTACTGCATGAGGACTCATCCGCCTCTTTTGATACCCATGGTCGAGGAATACCTAAAGACCACCCACGATTACGACTGGCTCGACAAACATTTTCACCTTCTCGAAAAGGAGTTTGATTTTTGGATGACGAATCGTACGGTCGAAGTTGAGATGGACGGAGTCAAGTATACCCTGGCCAGATATTACGAGGAATCGTCGGGACCACGACCAGAATCCTACAAGTAAGGAACAAGCAACCGTTTTCGTTTCCTCCGACAACCTTCTCCTTTCCTACTTTTCTCTATTTCTTTCTTTTTTTAACAACTAGAGAGGATTATCTGACCAGCCAAAGTTTCCGCACCGCCGAAGAAAAGGACAACTATTACGCAGAGCTAAAAACCGCGGCCGAGTCTGGCTGGGACTTTTCCAGTCGATGGTTCATCCTCGATGGCACGAACAAAGGTAAAGTTTCATTCCTCGCGAAAAGGTACGCGTAAAGGCGACGAAGGGTCGTCTGCGAATTATTTTAATCTCGAACAAAGCTCAGAAACTGTGTCGGCAATTATTATTGCGCGCGCTTTATCCGCACGATATCTTGGACGAGATATCGCGCTCTCAAGGCCCCCCATAAACCGTCCCGTTTCTCAGACGACCCGTTCTTCGTTCGCGACGATACGAAAACATAAAGAAAACTCTAAAGAGTTCTTCTCTAGGTAACCTGACCAACTTGAAAACAAGATACATTATCCCGGTCGATTTGAACTCGATAATATATCGAAATGCACAACTGCTGGCGAAGTACAGTCTGAGGATGGGCAACGAAAGCAAGGCCGCGTATTACCGGAAACGAGCGGAAGAATGGAAGAGAGCGGTGACGGCGGTGCTGTGGCACGACGAGGTCGGTGCCTGGCTCGATTACGACTTACTGAACGACATCAAGAGAGATTACTTTTATCCGACGAACATTCTACCGCTCTGGACCCAGTGTTACGATGTCGCCAAGAGAAGAGAATACGTGTCGAAGGTGCTCAAGTATCTGGAAAAGAATCAAATCATGTTGAATCTCGGTGGAATACCGGCTACTCTCGAACACTCGGGTGAACAATGGGACTATCCGAACGCTTGGCCTCCGTTGCAATACTTTGTTATCGTGTCGTTGAACAACACCGAGGACCCATGGGCGCAGAGGCTCGCCTACGAGATCAGTCGACGATGGGTCCTTAGTAATTACAAGGCGTTCAATGAGACGCACAGCATGTTTGAGAAGGTATTGTAATTATCCTCCTCGCGTCGATATCGTCGATAGCAGCTTTCCTAACTGCAACTCGTGGTTCGATGTTTGGTTCACAGTACGACGCGACGGTGTCGGGCGGTTACGGAGGCGGAGGGGAATACGAGGTGCAACTAGGTTTCGGTTGGTCCAACGGACTCATCATAGACTTGCTGGACAAGTATGGTGACAGGTTTACGACCAAAGATTTCGTGCAGTATGACATCGTGCACAGCTCTGCCCCCCAACAAGTAGTCGTGTCGACGGCCGGCCAAGTAATGACCGGTATCTTAGCCCTCATTATATCGTTGGCCGCAGGATTCATAGGGTGAGGTAAGTGACGCGCGACCAATCAATTTCGCTAATCAATTGTCATTTTTCGCTCTAACGATAACGTGCTCCTTTTTTCTTTTGTGTTTCAGATATCCTTCTTCTGGTCTAAAGGGTGGGGGGGGGAGTTAGCAAGTATATCGCGCCTGAGTTTTTACGCCTGACAAACATTTCGTCGTTCCGCTGCCTTTTTCTCAGCTAGACGATAAAACAAACTATCGGAGAAACGTACGAGGCCTTGAACGATAAATATTTCAACATTTTGCCCAGTAATTCACTGCTGGAGTATCGTTGTTTCATCGAAACGTTCGGATATTTATCCCCGCGTGGCTAACTCGCGAAAACCTTAAAGCGGCGACGATCATTTCGACGAAGCAGAGACACGTGGATCGTCCGATAAACTTCCGAACATTTGGATGACACCTGTGACGGCGAACTCGAATGCGACTCGCGTTTCTTCGATAGTTTCGGCGCGCGTGCACCGTTGCGAGAGTAAGAAAAATTTATTCTGTGATTTTCCGTGGAATCTTCGCTGGCCGAGGACCCGTTCCTACGATTCCAATTATCTCGACTGGTGTAGGATGAGAGTACAACAGCGACAGCGTTTACGATCGTTTCGTGAAATCGCGAAATCGCAAAGCTTGCCCGTTACTTTTATTAACCTTGCTAGAAATAGTTGACGTTCCAACGAAAGATAAAAGCGATCCAATAGAGGAAAGGAGTATAAGCAGCGTAAGAAGTACGAACTCGAACCAACAGCAACGTCGACGTAGAAGCGAGAAGAGCAGCGCGGTTCCCACCCCATCTAGTCAGATCGACGTACTCGAGACGAACGTCGCTTATACATATATCCTGTACCAAAGAACGAAGTACCAAAAGCTGAGATCCCTCTGCCTTCGTACTCGCTGCTTTCCCCTTCCTTCTCGATCGATTTCTCCTTAAATTAATCGCTTCCTAGTACCGACGAGTTGCATTTGCAATATAACTAACCAATATTCGAACGATCGTTTATCGTCTGTCGTTCTATTTATTAAAACGCAACGAATAGACGTGGCCGTGTACGAGCGTATTTCTCATGCGCTTCCGAATCGCCGATTCGACTTTTCGATCAACATCGAGCGACGATGAAACGTAGCAGCTTAAAGAAAGTAGCTGTGCTAGTCATTGAGATTCGTTGGTTGTCCGAAAAGTTAGCATAATAACGTAGGATAATGTAGGGTAGAGTATAGTAGGAGACTGCAACGGCGAAAAAGGTGAAAGGTAACACGTTCTAATTTGTTTTTGATCGACTATATCGGCATGCTTTCCTTTACTTACGTTTGCCTGCCCGTGTGGTGACTTTTAAATAAAACATATCATAGAGAAAATCAACTCCGACCTGTTCCCTATAACTATCAAACGATTCGTCGTTTACTCCTCCTTCGAATACGTTTCCATCGGAACTTACTAAATTTCTTTAGAATCACTAGTTTTTTCTTTTCAAAAGTTTTGCATACTCGCGAACAAGATAAAAAGTAACTTTCATTCGTTCCCAAGGCGCGTAACCATCGTTCAAATCGACGACTATCCATCTTTGAAGGTCGATAGTCGTCATTTATTCCCCCTAGTCGCATCCCGAATATCCCCAACCAATTGTATTTCCAGTTCCGTTCAGAAATACGCGTTTTATCTGCTGGTTGGTTATCGTTGAGCAAACAACGCGTTCGATAGAATTGTGTTTCAGGTGAATTTTCCGCAACGAAACGAAATACTTGTGTTTTTAATTTTCTATTCGAAATGGAAAATTGTCGAATAAATTGAGGAGAACGCATACGACACGACACGAGACAGGACGATATGTTTATCGGATTGATTGCACGTTCGTAGACAGACAGGTGGGCGCGTGGAAACGGTAACCCGCGAGTTGCAGCGCAGTCGGTCTCAAGGATGCGGTGGTTACTGGTCGCGACGGCTGTTGCGTCGTGGATCGTAAGATCCGTCGTTGAGCAACCGCGATCAACTTGTTCGATACGGTAGCTCGGTTTCTAAGTAAACAGGAAGCGATTCGCCAAGTCGAATAATAGTAAAACTCTCCGGAAAGTTTTTAATAATCATTGTTGCGTACAACAGATTGTCTAACTAACGAAATCTTTTCGATGCGTTCGCAGAATGGTGGTGTACAAGAGGCGACATTACTACGTCCCAGGGCCGTCGACGATGCCGAACAAGAGGAAAGTGATCGCGCCGGGCGGCAATCTTTACCGGAAGAGGGTCGCCTATACCGAGCTCAAGGACATGAACAACGATTGACGATAGCTGGTGATTTAGAGAGGGCCGATTCGTAGCGTAAAGCGAGCGTAACAGCAGCAACGAGGGACGGAGAGAAGAGGAGATAACTCTTTATCGTGTACCCGTGGTTCCTTGCTGACATAGCCGGCAACTAAAACCGGTGTGCGTGTGTGCGCGTCGCGTGTGCAAGCTGATGCAACGAACAATTAGAAAAGTCGAAAAATATACGTAATTATTTCGAGTCCGTTTCCAGATCGTCGCGACTACGCTTCGATCGAAAAGACAAATTCTACGCCTTCGTAGGAACAAGATTCCGTTTGGTCGATCGCGTGTTCTCGTTGATGGCTGATGCGATGCCAAATATCGAGGATGTCGACGACGTTTTCCTACCTCTTAAAAGTCGATCGCGTTTCATTCGGGGAAGGTGAACGCGGTCGCGCGATTGCGCGAACCAATGACACGAAGCTATTGCCCAGGGAGAAGCACCGATTATTGTGCGGACTGTTTGAAAACTCGCGCAACGCGATCTGGAACGGATCGTTTCATCCGCGTCAACCAGGCACCCTTTGCTCAAACGCGTCAACCCCTTACCCGAAACTCTTCTCCGCCCTTCGTTCGCTCTCCTTTTAGTCAAATTTTTTCGCTTTGCGCGCTCGGCCTAAGAAGCTGTTCGGTTACGCTCTCTCGAGGGCCGGAACGCGGCTCGAATCTTTCAAGGATATTCCTCGTGGCAGACGCATCCATCGACCAAGACTTTCACGAACGATTGTAAACGATAGAGGTGGGAAAGATGGATGGATGCGTTGAAGCGCGACAAAGAGAGTGCTGCGTTCCACCTGATATCGTTTAGCTCAGTTTAGATAATTGATCGATTCACGCTGTAGATGAAAAAGAATATTTTTATAAACACCGAACCTGGAGAAATCGGTTCAACTTGACTCGGAGAACCGGAACCGCGGCTGTTACATAGCTACGAACTATGTAATCGTTCGCGGCGTTACCGCAATTAAAGTTACCTTTAAGAAATTTCCTAAAGATTTATCGAACGAAAACCTTTCGCGACAATTCGTGTGATCTAAGCAGGATATTTTTCTCTTTACCGAACAATACATGATTTCACCGAAGATCGAGCGACAAAGATGCGTCCAAGGAATCCATCTTTCGCGTCGTGCATTTATCTTTACAATTATTGTTCTTAAGCAACGGTAGGATAAAGGACGTACGTTTCGTTCGATATCCGGGTACTTCTACTTATTTATTCGTATCGTTCGTCGTTAGGAAAGTAATTTTGTTTTCATAAAAGCGGCAGAAAAAGGAAAAAAAGATAGAATCTTTAGATTCAAAAACACGGCAAATATTTGAATTCCCGTCGCGAACAACGAACCGAACGAGAGATTCGTAACCGAGACGCACTTTGTGTAAATTTACAATGCTTGGATTATTGTGATACTTGGAAATAAGTGGGTACATATGTAGGTGTCGTTGTACATTTTGTTTCTTTATTTTCTCCTTGAAACTAAGCCGCTCCTTATTTATCTCGTTTACTCTCTGCTTAAACGCTTCGATATCGATGCGATGGTGCTTTCCCTTCGATCTTGATTATATCGATTCGTAGAATCGGCGGCAAAGGTGTCTGGTATATTTGATTTAGTAAAGTTCGAATCGAATCGTGCTACTTACATAGCGATCGACGATCAAACAAAATCCGAATATGTATCAATCGAATAATGTTCGTCGAGCGTTTTCTTTTCGAAAAATAAGAACACTGTGAGATTGATAGATAGATAGATAGATATATATTATATATAAATAAATAGTTAGGTAGATAGATTATGACTGCAACTATAATAAATACGTGTATTCGGTATACGCATGTACATACATTATACATATACATACATATAGTATATAAAAGATTATTTGATACGCTGGCGTGTCATGAAAGTTTTTAGAAGAAATTGCCGAGTCCGTCTCTCTCTCTCTCTCTCTTTTCTTTCGTTTTTTTTTTTTTTTATGTATATACATACATACATACATGTATATTTGCGATTGTAATATTTGAAAAAAATCCGCTTGTTTGGTAAATAAAGTGTAAAAGGAAAGGAAGAAGACAGAGAAAAGAAGGAAGGAGAAAGGGGACCTGGTGTTTTTTAATTAAACGCCGAATCGACCATGAAATGACGACAACGTTATCTCGATAGATTAATTATATTTGTTTAGAATATACCACGTAACAACAAGGAAAAAATACTGAATTAAACGGGGATACCTTATTTGGTATATCGCACGAGCACGAGCTAAATCGTTTTGCCGTGCTGTACATCATCTTATTTATTGGCAATACAATGTTAATACTTATGATCGGTAAGTGTGCGCGATCATACGACCGGTGCGTATGATCGCTCGATGGACCTTTGAACTTTTCGAGTAAGTTGATCGAGCAACGATCGAACACAATCATCCGTCACGCTCGTGCCGAATTCACCAAAATTCAAATCCGACGGTAAAGTTTCTTTTCGAAGCGCGACCACTCTATTATTATTCGCTCAATCAATTTTCCACTGAAATTTCGACGTTCTCGCGTTCGCAAGAACTAGAAAAATATACACGTATATGAAAACCAAACGTTTCACGTTTTCCTCGCTTTCAAAATTCGCGCCTCCCCGTTCAATGTTCACCGCAACACGTACGTTTAATTAGATTACAATGTATAAATTACGAGTTTACCTACGCGGCATGAAAATATCACAAATCAACTCGAAAAAGTCAGAGAAAATAATATCGGTCGCCTTGTCGTTTCACTAATTAAGTTTAATCGCGCAGTCGTCTACTTGCGCTTTCAAAAGTTCGCGGCAGACTTGGGGAACCAAAGGTATCGCGTCGAAAAATTGAAGATTCTCGATCGAGCGGTAAAATATTCGAACGACGTCCGCGAACCAACTAAATCGTACATACCGATTCCATTACATACTTGAAACTTTAGTAAAAGTAATACTACTAAAGGTTCGTCATCGATACAAGCGGATAGATAAATAGTTAGTAATGAGCAATCGTAGCCGATCGATGAAATTATATGAAAACGTAATTCTCTAGAAATCGGTAACGATCGGCTACGAATTTAAAAAAAAAAAAAGGACTGAAAAGAGGGGAAGACAAATCACGAAGTGTCTCTATACCAGCACTTTGGTGCTATTACAAACAAATGTACATATGTATATAAACGCACTTTTTTGCGTACGTGTTTACGTTATACATGTTTAATAAGTGTGCGTGAACCTGTTTACGTTTCTCTTTTTTTTGTTCCTTCTTTTTTTAGGCAATCTTATATCCTTGGGCATTATTATAATTATAATCGCCGTCTAATGATTTACGTAATCCTACAAATAAATATCTATCACAAAAGACTGGTCTAATAATAGTAATAGTAATATTAATATAAGTGGCTTTTGCGGCTTACGGTGATTCCCGGTGTCATCGTATTCGTTCTCTTATTTTCTCTTTAACGACATTGAATACACTAATACGCGAGTCCTTATCCTAAATATTTACAAATCGTACGTCGCTAGTACATTCTGGTTTACCCTGCGCTCTCGCGGCAATCGTTTCTTGTAATAATAAATATGACAATGACTGATGCCTCTCGTTTATCGATTCTATTGTACTTACCAATAATATCCGTGCGACACGAGATAAAATCGACGAGTTTGCGCGTGTTCAACGGTGAATACCTTGCTACGTAAACTGATGAGTGAAAAATCGTCCGATCTAACTTTGCGTAACAGGATCGTACGAAAACGTTTGTGCACGAAACGCGGATGAATCTCTTATGATTTTATACGGCACAGTCTTCGTTCTCGCGAACCTGTCGTTCGTGATTCGTGTACCGTAACAACGGTGCCCCGACGTTTACTACAGCTCCAGTTTCTTCTTCGTTGTTCATAGAACACGTGACGATTTCCTCTGTAAACGTTAGGATTACGTAAATTTAACACATCCAAGAAAATGAACCGAGCGAGAATAAAAAAGATAATAGACATTTGTACGTACCGGGTAAACATAATTGTAACTGGTCGCTACTAGGATTGGTACTATCTCCTGTACCGCTATCTTTGCTATGCTGAGAACTCGTTTCCAAATATAAATGCGTCTGTGTGTCCGGAACAGGGGCTGCAACAGCAGTGGACGTTTGCGCGTTTCTAGCTTGCGCAACGGCATTTAGGCGTCGTCTAGTCTGATAAATTATAACCACCCACACTATGGACGTACCAACGGCACAGCATACAACGGTGATTATTATCAAACCTAGTATATCGTCTTCGTTTACCGAAGCGGGGCTAGGAGTAGAGGTCGGAGCTACTCAGAGGGAAGAATAAATTGGTAAGAATAATTTTCTTGATCGACTTTTTACAAATCATGAAATGTTATAATTTTTTACCTGGTTTTACTGTAAGGTGAGACGCGCCAACAACGCTGCCCAACGAATTACTCATTTCGCATTCGTAGCTCCCAGCGTCGCTAGCTCTAGTATTGACGATTATTAATAATTGATCTTCAGCGGTGAAGAAATGACGTTCCGTAGCTTGTAGAGGGCTTCCGTTTTTACGCCAGGAGAGCTTTGGTCTTGGTGTACCGCTTGCCATACACTCCAACACGATCGAACCACCGACGGTTATTTCTTTGTTTTCCATCGGTTTCACGAACGACGGTGTTTCTTTGAGAAGCGAAAGGAATAAGTTAGTTACCGTAAGTTGATTTAACCAAGTAGTTGATGACCTATTTACCTAATATGGTAAGAGTTGCATTCGCGACAATAAGGCCGGCAAGATTTTGCGCGGTGCAAGAGTAAACGCCGCTATCCGCTGTTTTCACGTCAACGATGAACAGTACGTCGTCTGTTGGCATCATGTGCATTCTTCTTTCCCTTGCCGCTGGAAAGTTGTTCCCTCCATCTTTTTGCCACGCTATTTGCGGCGACGGTTGACCCTCCGCGGAACATTCGAGCCGAGCAGTGCTTCCAGCAATTACACGTATATCGTGGGGAATTTTCGAGAACGATGGATAAACTACATATGAATAAAAATTCACCGTATACTATAACAAGTTTCATAAACTGTAAATTCGCTGTAGATGTTGAAAAATATACCCATAATGCTTATTTTTGCTTTCGCAGAGTACGTCGTCCCGTACGTGTTTGTAACCATGCACTGGTATTTGCCAGCATTTGCATGTGTTACGTTAGTAAGATGCAAGATGGAAGACGCCTTTGTCACACCACTTTCCGCGGAATCAATATTTATTTCTGAATTTCCATTATCCATTTCCACGTTATCGTGCTTCCATGTAAAATGTAGCCGCGCACTGGCAGTACTGGTTGCTCGACAAATTAACGTTACGTTATCTCCTTTAATACCCATCTGACTTTTAGGTTCTTCGATTATTCTTGGTTTCGGATATTCGTCTATCTCCATAAAACAATTGTTCATTTATACATCTATCAAGTACATATTTACAGCATCGTACTTACCGCATGTAAAATTTTTATGATGAAGCTGAGTCAACGACATACCCTGTAACCAATGCGGATATCCACAATATACTTCCGCATCGCTGTATCTATGCTCGCGCAACCACATACTTAACCACTGCAAACCGCAGTCGCAAAATAGTGTTCCTACGTACGTCAACAGAAATGAGTACAAATATTTCGGATAATTTTCTTACGCGTTACTATGTGTTATCGTGTTTTCATACGTACTCGAGTTCATACGAAGTTTAATCAAACTGGTCATTGAAGCGAAAGCATTTTCCTGAATGCTCGTCACATTGTTTCCACTTAAGTCTAATTCTGTTACGCTACTTAATCCGGTAAATGCATCTTTGTGTACGGATTTTATATCGTTGTACGCCAACCCTAATTTCCATAATTGGCCCAATGGATCAAACACGCCGTTAATATCTTCCACCATGTACGAAATTTTATTGAAATTAAGTTCCCTTTATAGAAAATAAAAACGAATATCGTAAGAAACTTGTCAAATTTTCATCAATGTGTATACGTACAGTATCTGTAGATTAGGGGTTGAACGGAACGCGCCATCCGAAATGTACGTAATTTGATTGTGGTCCAATTTCAGTTTTTCCAACTTTTCTAAAAATTCAAATGTACCTCGTGCGACGGAAGCTATTTCGTTGTGCGACAGATCCCTGTGAGTAAAAACGAAATCATAATCTAGTATTATTTATTTGATTTATATTGAGAATTATTATTGCATCGCGATATGAAAATATTACTAACAATTCTACAATCTCTTTACACTTATCCCAAGCTTGCACCTCGATCGTGATTATTCGATTGTGCGACAGCGTCAATTTTTGTAAACGCTCTAATCCAAAGAGACCGCCTTTTCTCACCACAGTTAGCAAATTAAAATCAAGTTGTAATATCGTTAAATTTTCAAGAGGCCAGAATGCTCCATCGTCCAACGATTCGATCTTATTTCTTTTTAACCGTAATTCTTTAAGATTTCTTAAACCCAGGAGGCTAAGCCCTTGGATCGTCTGTAATTCGTTTCTATTTATTTCTCTGAAATAAAGAACATATTACTTTTTCATCCATGAAAACGCAGGCATAATAACAAATATGATTGTCGATTCTTACAATATACGCAGTTTCCTTAAATTTGTAAAAAGATCTTTCAATTGAGTTAAATGATTTTTATTTAAACGTAGTTCTTCCAAGGAAGTTAGATTATCTAAACTTCCATTTTCGATTAGCCTTATCTGATTCATATTTAAGTTTCTGTAACAAACGATTGAAAGTTATACACATCGGTAGAGAAATTATACGTGTTTGAAAACATGTTACGAAACGCGGCGATAAATTACGTACAAGTGCGTAAGGCAATTAGGAGCAAGAAATGATCCATTTCGTATGACGCTTATCCTATTTCCACTGACATCCAAATTTTCAAGTCGTTGCAAGGTAAGTAGAGCGGTACCATTTATATCGCTAATCGAGTTATGAGCTCTGTAAATAAATTATTATGTTTTATTTCTATGTTATTCAAGAAAGAATACAATACATACTTACAATGCAAGGTGAGTTATATTTTCAACAAAAACCATATCAGGCACTCTAGTCAATTGATTTTTATTAACTTTCAGTCCTTGTAACTGTGTAGCTGTTGGTAAAACAATTGTAAAGTTATCTCCAAATTTGTTAGCACTAAGATCCCTAAAAATAAAATAATAACAAAATTTATTGCATACAAATTACATTATCAATCATAATGATCGCTGTACTCACAGTTCTTTGAGCTTAGTTAAATGTAACAAGGCATCTGGTTCCAAACTAGTTATATTATTTTCTTTTAATTCCCTGTAAGATGAAGAAGTATTTGTAATTTATTGTAGTATTTCTAACATTTTTACTGCTCACAGGTACAGCTAACAAGGACATCTGGACACTAAAGGAATGGTATCTTTTATTTTACTATCCAACAGTCCATTTTTGTGCATATTACCATACATGGTAAAGAATTCCTCTTAATGTATTTGGAAGAAAAAAACTACCATTACCATTTAATCTCTTAAAATCTATGGTATCGAAGTAAACCCTTAACCAATATAATAATTAATTAGAAACTGAATTAAATATGCATGAAATATAGCAATCTCCTAATGGTATTTAAAAAATAATTGCTGGTGTTTTGCTTATTAAAGCGAATACTGTTATCACGTATATTAACGTTTCTGTTACAAATTCTCGTATACTATCTTATCTTGTTAGATCATGTTACATTGAATATGCGTAGCTTTCAACTTGAAGTTTTTCAGTTTGAACGATAACTCGGTTTAATGTAACATTAAGGAGTAAAGCATAAATATAAACGTAAACTTGTTAAAGTACTGTAATTGCCGTTCGGAGAAAAAAAAGAGCAACATCGATACGTATCGATATAGAGATTCGAAGGAATGCGCTGAATGAAATCGAAGTGAACGATGTATGAAAGAGATAAAGATATTGTCACGATACAAGTTCTTGATAGGATAACGAGAGAGTATTTACTCACAAGATCTCTGTCCATGGTGGTAGACCACTGGGTGCTCCGATCAATTGTAAGCTACTGCAGTCCACCACATTCCCAAGGCACCCACACTCAACGGGACACTGATTATCCTTCGCACCATACGATTTCATGTCGGCATTTACAACGTTCAATGGAATAACACATAATATCGATAAAACAATAACGGTCCATTTGCATTTCCACACAAGCCGACGTAGAAGAAATACTTGTTCGGAATCCGACATCGTATGCACTCTCGTATCGTTCCGTTCAAAACTTATTTCGTAACTGTACGTTACGTATCAAAGATATTCTCCATAGCGATTTGTAAAACGACGACGGAACTTCCCGTAAAAGCATCACCGTAATAATAAAAAATCTTCGCGTATTAATCATTAAAAACAAACTCTTCTCTCAAAAAATGCTTCGACCCACACACCATGATGACGCCTACGGACCGATGATAGACTCCCTCACCGATTGCGCGAGACTATTCCCTCACTCCACTATATCTCTCTCTCTATTTACAACGTTCCAACCTTCGTGTTACTAGAAGTTAATTTTCTAGCTAGTGACATTTTTTATTGTTAAAATAATCCCTTTTTACATTCCATTGTTTTCAATTATAAAGTAACTTTACCTCTTCGATATGAATTCGCAATAGATATACATATATATATGTATATAAATCGAATGTTTCAGATGATAAAAATGGATCGCTAATTAGCTACTCACACTACTTATATAAGTACTTGAGTAAGTGCTTGTTACAATACACACATGCAAGACTATTCAAAATTTTGAAAAATATGAATAACCTGAATTTTAACTAATAATTACAAATACATGTTACTGATACTGTTGTTTAATAAAAGAGGGGGAGAAGGTATTATTGAAAAACTCATCAGTTGTTACTAAATATTTATATTTGTATTAAATCACTATATATATGTATATTTATATTTTGTCAATAAATCACTATTTCACAGCATCATTTGTCCTTTTAAACAAATCAGTAACATTATACGTGAAGCTTTCATAAAACATTAAAGTATTTTCGATCTGACAGAAAATATTACACATTCCTTATACAAAATCCATCGAATCATTAAATATTTTTTAAACAATGTATAGTGAAAAACAACAGTAATAGTTACAGGCTAATTACCTTAACTATCAGAAAAATGGTATTTACGAGCTCTACGTTCATATGAAAATTTGTCTTTTATAAACGATTCTATCGAATTAGAGGCTGATCTTAAATCGTTTCAGAGATTTCGTTTTATTCGACCTAATCATATTAAAATTTAGTAGTAGAATTGGAGGCAAGCCGAAGATACGTATCCCGCTTCAAATATTTTTACAAAAATAAAGATCGAGTCTCTTACGCGTAGATATTTATTGCGATAAATAATCATTACTAATGGTAAAATCAATAATTAAAGATTAACATAAGATACGCCTAATAAATCCATAGAATTAGTGACTGTAATAATTGCATTGTTTCTGCTTACAACGTGAAAGCGCTAACAACGCAACATATATATGTATGTATTTATGTAGGTATATATGTAATGTTTATAGTGTTCACATGTATCCTGCTGAACTCAATTAACGCTGGTAAAACTTTCAATACTAGAAATACAATGTAGTATATATAAAAGGAATATACATATAATATCTGGTAAAAAATACATAACATAACATAAAGGTACGATTACAAACAGCCCGTTGTTTTTTTTTTCACACAAAGTAATTCAGAATATAAATGACAAAAAGAAAATGCCAATGTTATTGTTTTACAACTTTGTCGATTATACGTTAAAGGATCATGTCCCATTCTATAGAGAAGAATTACCCATATTTTAAACAAGAGACAATGTATTTAAAAACAACAAGATTGATTTTATAAAGTCATAAAATATAATCTGAAAATATTGTTTTCAATATCTTGGAAATATGAAACGGTTGCAACCGTATAGTTAAAAATATACATAGTATGATATTCTGTGATACATCATATTGCTCATGATATTCACAATGCATACAGTTGACTGTCATCGCTTGACCAAACCACCAAAGTCAAGTTGATACTACTTTATTCAACTTAAAATATGTTTAGCAACACGATGTTACATCACTCGATCGCTCCGTTTATTCGAGCACAAAATAGAATATCTTTCACAACTGTACGAAAAGAAGGCTACTTTAGATCTTGCAGAAAACTAATCGCACTATTACCGTTCCTTTTTGATCATAAATACAGCTTATTTTTATTTTTTTTTTGTTTTTCAATGATCCATGTGGAGAACATTACCCTGTAAGAGGGAACGACCTATACTGAAGACATTTGCAATTTTGTATGATACAAGTATTATTATTACTCAGCCCGCGAGCGAATACATTGAATACAATGGCAAATACAATCGGCCGTTAACATCAGGAGGCCCCTTTGCTAGTTAGAAGCCATTATATGCAATAATAAAATTAATGATTCGTTCCGGAGGCTCTGTGTAGCATAATAATATAGTTTGATTACCGATTAGCTACTCCAGTTTCCATGTTTACAGCGTTAAGTAGTTGGATGATACGAACTAATTAATGCTGCATCTACCGGTTCCATACATGATGGACACGTCAGGGAACGTAGCAACCAATCGTCGATGCAGACAGCATGATAGGTGTGCATACAGGGTAGATAACGCACTTCTTCTCCCACTTGGAGCTCCATCATGCAAATCACGCACTCTCCTTTCTTAGCTCCATCGTATTCTCTCATAGGTAAATGCTGGATAAGTCCTATGCGTTTTGCAATTCTTACTTGCTGTTCTTCTTCGCTTAGTGTACCGGATCCACTGTTTGGTCCTAAATTAACGCCAACACCGATTCCACGAGCGACGCTTAAATTCATAGATTGCAAATAACGCTCTCTGGTAGCAATTGACGGATAATAAGAGCCCACTACTTCCTGTAGAATTGAAAAGAAATTAACGTTATCTTTGATCAAACTAATCTTTTAATCAATCTAAATACTACCTCCGTCAAATATGGTTCTGTCGTTATAAGAATAAAAAGAAAACGAAGAAAATCTAAAGGAGACGCATTATCGAAGATCAATGAATATTTAGAGATGGCACGAGTAGAGAAACGAATAAGAAAAATGAAATTACATTGTAGGGTATCGGAGGTCCAAGGCCTTCTTGCGATGATCCACTAGTCAACATAGGATCAGGATTGTTACTCAACAAAGTGGTATTGTCCTGTTGACTGCTTCCGACACGTTTTAAACAATTTCCCATTTTGATGGAACGTCAGCTCTGAACTCCCGTTTTCTGAACAGTCTGCACAAATTCCTTAATCCCAGCGTCGATTAAACGATCGCGATAATTTTGACGTGGGATATTACGAGCGTTATTATCCCCATCATAAGTTACTTCTTTTCCCGTCAATGTTCGTGTTAGAAGGACCGTTTTGATATCCAAACGGATGACAGCTCGTATTTCGGCTGAAAATTTGGTACGCGAATCTTTACCATCGAAACATTTTCCGTCACATACCCGTACTACAGCTGAGTGCTCTACGCATCCAACGAGATGCAACTGAAAAAAAAAAAACACACCTACAGGCCAGTTACTCGTAGATTGTAAAAAAAACACTTTTCACATCCCTTGTGCGACGTTATTTGAACGTTTAGTACATAACGTCACTTTCATTTCGCTGCACGAAAGATACTCTGATGTGATTCGTCGTTGCAAGCGTATCGCATTTTCCACCGTCCAATCAGGAAAACGAATTCGCGTGATACAAAGAGTTTACAAAAGAACTAGGTATAATCCGTTCGAAAAACATTCGGTAGGTAACATATAATTGGTTCGTAAAAACCAACATGGCGTAAAAACGCTTACGCCGTGCCTTCAATTCAAACGTCGATGCGAGCATCGATCTATCGAACAATTTTCCACAGACATGTTTTTTCTATTTAAAGTATCGATCATCGTATTCGTCGAAATACTTCAAGTACAACATTTTTCACTTGTGAAATTCGAAGTGTTTTTTCATGAAAACACGTAACGCAAAATTAAATGCATATTCGACCGCGTGGTTGTTTGTTTATTCGCGATAATTTTCCCTGAAATAAATATCGATGAATTTTTACGGAAATTCGATGTTTAGATGACGATGATCTATGCCTCGACGCGAAGAAAAATTTCTTCGTGTTGATCACCGTAATCGTAAAGTTTTGACCTTTGTTCGCTATTTTAGAGATAATTTTTAAACAATCGTATTTTCCAAGATCGTTAAGCGCTTTACCGATCATGCTCGATAATTCAACTATTTTTTAAACTACTGCTTTGATTATATTAAAAGAAATTTATTTAACATGTTATTGTATTCGCAGGAAGTTGATTTTTGCCAGCCGAATCACTGTGTCAACTCGACGAATACCTATAATCGATTTTAAATGGAAAGGAATGGTAAATGGGATGACGATGTTCTCATTCACAGAAGGAACGATACAGAACAAACAAATAAATGAAATCATCAGTGGGTTTATTGGTACAGTATACAGAAAACTTGAAACTTTCTACGTATAGTAATATCGATCGAAAGAAAATCGGTGTCTTCTTCGAATTCGACGCAAGATCGTTAGATGGTAGGGAAGCAACGCTTCCTCGTTTATCTTATCGCGTCGTGACCCCTAACCTCGTGCAAATACGAAAAGCAAGAAGACCTTTGACACCGATCTTTTTTCCCCCTAGAAAGAGGAGTAGCATAGTAGTTGATTCGATGTCGTAGTCCATTCGGTGGTCGAGTTCGGTCGGAGCAGGAAGCACTTACTTAACCGATATCAAGCGTACCGGCTTGTTTCGCACCCTAGTAGTCCCCTTTCTCGGTTCGATCTTTCCGCTCGATCAGCGATCTCCTCTTTACGAGTTTACCACCGCGATTATTCGCGCGACACTCGTCAACAGTCTCTGATTACTTTCGACTCGACTCGGTCGATCGGTGTCTCGTCTTTCGTCTTTTCAAGTTTGTTTGAGACCTCGCTGAAATTTCGCTTCGCTAAAAGTACGAGTAGTATAGAAAATTTCTTGTTAAATTTCATAGTTTTGAAAACAGTTTAATTGTTACAGAATCGGGTAAACGGTGGTGTTTGTTGGCGTGGTGTTTAGTGGCGTGGTATAGCGTGGCGTCTGCACGAGTTGAGATTAAGAAAATCACATCGAACGGGTAGAAAGGAAGAGAAAGGGACAGGAAGCGGGGATACGGTGTAGATCGGTGGCCGACACAGACAAAGGGATGAAGGGCGCATCGATGCAGAGATAATTAACGATTCAACCCCGTTACTTTGGAACAAGCAACATGACTTGGGATCGACGATCGTGGAACCTTACCGCGATATTTGTCGTAGCGATTTGTATCGCGATCGACATCGTACAATCTGGTAAAGTTATTTTTATTCTCATACATCTGAATAATTAGAGGAAAGAGGGATGGAAGGTGTTTGTTTGTCTAAATGATACATGTAAGATCGTGACGTATAATTTTGCTTGTCGTTCGATTATTATCTGTTGCGCGTGTTAGTGAACTCTCTTATTTCCAAGAATAAGTATCGTATAATGCACGGTTCGAGTCATGCGTATCGGTGTCTGGTTATCAGTAAAGCGTAACCCTGCAACACTACTAGGTCGACGTAAATATTCGCGGTGTTATTAACCGGATCGTTAATTTTCCGTTTCAGAAGTGGTCAAGGATCCAACGCTATGCGCCCGGACGCGATGCAAAGGTATGGAACTTGTATTAAAGAAGTCGTTGAAAGATCAATGAAATATTAAATAAAATTTAATTACGCGTTTCCAGTGGCAACGAGCAGAAAGTTCAAGTACGAAGAAAACGTTTGGTACTGGTACAGGTACTCCGTGGACGTGAGCACAAATTTAGGAAAGGACAATTCGACGGGTGATCCGTTAAACGAGTCGACCTTGAGGTTGGACGCGGACTTGGTTATTTGGTTTAGCAGCCCTTGCGAGGGTAGTTTGAGGTTCCACAATACGAGCATCAGCCACGACCCTCGGAAGTACAATCCAGAATTTCCGGATCGTGCCGGCGCGGATTTTAAAACGCATCTGGAACGTTACACCTTGAGATTTGCGTTCGACGACGGTCGAGTAGACGAATTATGCCCGGACAAGCGGGAACCGATCTGGGCGTTGAACTTGAAAAGGGGTGTGCTGTCGATGCTACAGAACACGATGCACAGGTTGGACGTGGATCATCGGGGAGACGAGCTGGACGTGAACGGTGTATGCGAGACGAGTTATCGTTTGCGTGAGGCGAAACGTACCAGCTTGATCCTAAGAAAATCGAAACACCTGTCGGACTGCGTTTACGGTTCGAAACACTTCTCCGTCGTTCGTTCGAACGTGTACACCAGTCCCCGATCGAGAACTCGTCGATCTCAGCATCCTCTTCTCGATTCTCGAAGCGATTGCGAATTAACGGTCGATCGCAACGTCTACGAAAAGATCGTATGCAAGGAGGAACATCGATTGCAACCGCTTTCCAGCGGAAATACGGGCGCGAGAACCGAATCTACCTCCGTTCTTCGGTTGATTCGAAAATCTCAAGACGATTATTCGCTCGAGTACGAAGGAACGGACGAGGAAGAATCGGATAAGTATGGTCAAGGATTGGATCGCACGAAAAAAACCAATCTGTTGTACGATTACGCGAGAACCGCGAAAACTGTTCACGGGGAATTAAGAACTTCTAGAGACCTGTTGAAAACGATGTGCAGACTAGGAGTTAGCACGAACGAATTGCAGCAACGATTTTCCGAGACGTTTACCGCTTTCGTTCATTCGGCTCGACTTCTCGATTATCCCTCGTTGTCACAGTTGTTCGTCAGAGCCAATAGTATCTGCAAAACCGGAAAGTGAGTAGAATTAAGCGATAAAAGTTGATACTCTCTTCGAGATAAAAGAAAATCGTTCGTTTTTTCCATGTTTTCGCAGGAAACACATCGTGGATGCTTTGCCGTTTATGGGAAGTAACGCGGCCGTGAACGTGATGCGAGATTTGATAATCAAGCGATACGTAGATCAAGCAACGATCGACAAGTGGGTCACAGCGTTTGCGTTAATCCCTCGACCTAATCAAGATACGATCAGAACTTTGTCGCCTCTGCTCGATTTTCAACATCAAATACCGGAAGCTCAATTCATCCTGAGTTATTCCGCGACCATCTACGCGTTTTGTTCGAACCACGAAACACGGTGCGACAACGTCGAACAGGTGACACGGTTTCTTTCGTACCTTGAGCAAAGGATCGAGAAAGGTTGCGCGGCACGAACTCACTCTATTTCCACGATCAAAGAGGTACGTTATTTCGAAATCATGTTTCCGATCGATGTAAATCATTATTTCTCATTCGATTATAGACGTTGGAAGCTCTGAAAGCGATCGGGAACATGGGCTTGGAAACCGACAGCTTATCGAAACGGTTACAAGAGTGCATAGAAGATGTAGGAGGATTCTTGCCGATGGAAGTTCGCGTGGCGAGTATCGATGCTCATCGAAGAATGCCGTCTTGCGAAAAAAGCCGGGATCTCTATTTTCTAAACTACTATCGGAACAATAGCTTGGACACGGAGATACGTATCGCATCTTATTTACAAGTGATGCGCTGTCCCGATTACAACGTCGTCAAAACGATCAAACACGCGTTGAAAGTCGAGGAAATTAATCAAGGTATCCTTCTGAATTTCTTTTCTTTTTTTCCCTCGAGTTTAATCGAAACTCTGTTCACAGTGGGAACATTTATTTGGAGCCATCTGACCAATCTCTACAATTCTGCTTCGCCGACCAAAATCGAGATTCAAAGTCTTCTCACGGACAGAGACTTAGACGGGAAGTTTAACAGAGACAGAAGGAAATTTTCACGAAACTACGATGGATCTTTCTTTTCGGAAGAATATAATTTTGGCGGCAATTACCAGGGAAATCTAATCTTTTCTACAAAATCGTATATACCGCGTACAGCGACTTTCAATCTCACTTTCGATCTTTTCGGCGAATCCGTGAACGTTTTCGAGATTACCACCAGACTCGAGGGTATGGAATATTACGCGGAGAAATTCTTCGGTCCGGACGGACCGTACAATAACGAGAAAATGTCTGGTTTCTTTAAAACGTTCCTAAGAAGTTTCAGGGCAGCTCCCGAAGAGGACGACAATTATTGGAAACGCGTGAAACGATTACCGGATGTAATCGACAATAATTTTAACGATCCAAGGATAAGTCTCGGTTACAAGGTAAGCGAAATCACGAGAACGGCTTTATTTCTTCTAAAAGAATAGAATAAACACTTTACTTTTATCGTTAGATATTTGGAAACGATCTAAAGTACTCGATGCTGAACGGCGATCGAGAAATCAGAGAAGCTTTAACGCGCTTAAACCCGTGGGAGAAATTTAAGGAAATCACGTCTGGAAAAGAAATTCAATACGAAAACGCGCTGATGTTTCTGGATTCGACTTACGTGGTGCCGATGACATCTGGTCTGCCGGTGCGTTTAGATTTTGCTGGTTCCGCGGCGTGCGATTTCAAGATGTCAGGATTACTCGACGCCAAGCGAATAACTAGCGGAGAGATCGAAC